ATCAGGCTGAGGAGGGTAACATAGCATCGGACACAGCAGACAAAAATGTGGCTTGAGACGAAGGATGCATATGCAAGACGTAGGCAGCGAGAGCCAACGTGCCTACCAAGGAATCCAATGCCAATTTTGTTTTTTTGAAGATCAATTGGCCGCAGAGGCAGAAACTAGGTAGGCAAGGCTCGAATGAGGAGGGGTGGGAAGGAGGGTGACGCTCTGAGACTCTACCAGTGACGACACGGGGACGATCACGAACAAGGCTGCTGTGCACTGGTGCGCGCTGGCAAGGTGGTACAACGGAAAGCCACAGTTCGCCCTGTTTCGCCCATCACACACTTACACTTACTTCCTGTGCTAGTCATGTCGGGGGGGGGCACAAGATGGCCGAGTCGAGGGCAGACGGCACCAGTACCTGTCCAAGATAACAGGCCAGGCTTTCGCGTGTTCGAGGTACCAGTACACTGTGCGTTCCGTATCTACCTGCCACCAGGGGCAGGTTTCAAGCAGGCCATGCACGCTTGAGACGACACGGTCGGAGACTGTGACACGCTGGAGACTCCCCGGCTGGCAAGCCGGGGCACGGGGCGCACCCTACTTCGAGACGATGCGGGGTCGTCGATAGGTCGCTGACATGTATGCTCGTACAGATGAGGCCGTGTGAGACGACGAGGGACTTTTGGGAGGGGCGGGTAGAAACAAATATGATTGATGATGAGCCTGGGGGGTATGGAACAAGGAATGAGGCTGAGCGACTGGTGAACAAGAAGTGCAAGTGCCGCCCGGAAGATACGGGGGTCGGGTCGGAGGGGCGCGAGACATGGCCTCGAATGTTCCAGTCAGGCGCGGTGAGGTTCGCGGACGACGATGGAAGATGAGGCTGTTTCGGTGAGCGAAGATTAGACTGGCTGTGGACCAATGGATCTAGAAGTGAACGTGAAGACGCAGGTGAACGAAGGGCCAAAAGGGCCAAGTTGTGGGTGGGTGTGGTTGTCTGCAGCAACCTGCATGTCGACTGCTGAGCTGCTGGGTAATGTGAGCAGCAGAAGGGAGGGGCGAGTCGGGCCCCTTCACGTTGGTTGCCTTGTTTTGTTTTGTCATGCTGCCAGCTGACCGGCCGACACGATATGATGCTGACGCCCGTCCATAGAGGAGGATTGTGATCGAATATGAGAGGCAATGGCTCATTCTTGGGGTTAGGTGCCGTAGGTAATTGAGGGCGAAGCAAGATCTAGACAGCCATGCCGACATGGCCAAACGATCAGATGAGGACGAGGATAAAGCCTTTTTGATGAGCCGTTGCGCGCTGCTGATTGATTGGCGCAGGAGGGAGCTGGACGTAAGGTTAAAGGACCCTTGAATGCCTACAGATACCTTGACCCCTAGCTACATGTACCTAGCTAGCCACAATCAGTGGATGGGCTCGACCAGCGGCCATGATCAGACGTTCACTGTGCTGACTACAGAGGTAGATAAGGTACCTACCTACCTCTCGAGGAGGGAGGGGGTAGCTCGGTTTCCCATGGCACCACAAGACAGACAATATACTTCTCATCAGAGAGACACACACCGTTCGAACGCAAAGGCTGTCAGCTGCTTGGCGTGTCGACCTCTGTTGCACACAGAACTTACATATACTTGGTACCCGAGGACGTCCAGAGTTTGCATGCATCCTTGCATTCAACTGGATTTCGTCGCGCAATGGCAAGCGGCAACTGAGTCAGGGCCAAACCATCTTACGCGGGCCCAAACAGTGGTCCTTCCAGCCAGAAAAACACACTCCACGCGCTATCCTGTGAGTGGGCTGCTCAAGTCCGAGTGTTTAGGGGGTACTCCACAACAAAGGGCCTCCCGCCAGGGGCTGGGATGACGCTGGCGCAGCTTCGTTTGGATGGTGGTTTTCGACGGGTGGGCGCTCATCTCTGCACACTGTGACCCCACCAATCATATTCTCCGGAGCACAATACTGCCTCAGTCTATATCCGCTTTCCAGCGACACCAGCCAAACATAGGATGGTATCCTCGACTCACGCCCCGCCCCGTTCATATACGCACAGTAATTGTTGCTCATTGGTCATGAGGCCTCCTTAGCATCCGCACTACATTCTGCTCAGCCCAGTCCACCACGGCCGACCCGGTGTCTGCCCACCCGCCAACTGCCCTCCGTCCAACACGTTCGGCTCATGACCCAAGCCTGCACGGCCTTTCCCCTTCCTTCCCACCTGGCAATTCCAGTTTCAGTCCCAGTTCCTAATGAGTCCTCCGCGCCGCCTGGGCTTGGACACTCTCGACTTTCGCCCTCCACACATTATCGCGCCTCCAATCCCAACGCCCTCTCGTTCAACGTATCACCCACACAACCACCCATTCCGCGTCACCGCCGTTATCATTGCAAAGCAGTCAACTGCTCATCTCTGAATCATCGGTCACCAGACTGTTCTTCGTTCCCGACCGCCGGCCGCTTTTGCCGCCTTCCAGCGGCCTCTCGGGGCGGGGGTCCAATTCCTGACACCTCATGTCTCCTTGATCTGTCCTCGTCTGCCACAGCTTGCTCCAACGCTACGAACCCGAGATATCTCCTGTCTTTCTATTGCGACGCGGAATTTCCATTGATAAAAAATGGACTCTTCCCACCGCAGACAGTCTGGTGTTGAGCCTGCCGATTCGGCCACCACTTCAGTCAGGACTTCCATCTCCAGCCGCCTTGACGGCGATGATGATTACGACCTCAGCGCCATGATGATTGCCGACGGCTTCAGGCCCTCCGATTCCCTGCCGATGTCGACGCAACCCCTCTCAACTTCGCTGGCCCGCGATCCGAATCAGCCTCTTCATCTTGCTTCATCCGCCTCGTCTGTCTCCACACATACACCCGAAACATCTTTCACCCCGCCGTCCGCTCGACCGTCGAGCATTGCAAAGCCTCCTCGAACTCACGACCCCTTGGCTCTACGTCACGATGGCGCTCTAGGACATCTCAATGCCGCACGCCTATCTAGGACTCCCAGCAGCTCGACGGCTATTCCCTCCGAGTACTCTGAAAGCACCATCAATGGCTCCTCGGGCTCCTCATCTGCTCACCATGCCTATCCGCAACGCACCTTCAGCGTTGCCACTTCATCGACCATGCCCATGTCAGAAAGATCATATGCTGGACCCCAACGTCCCACGCATCCCTACGGCCTCTACACACAAACGACCGCCCCTGTTGACGCCCCACATGACTCGGACATCCCGGTGGGGTTTGGGAGGCCAGACAACTATCGAAGGCGTATTGGGCCCGACGGCGAGGAGATCGCCGACATGATTGGCCCCCTCGGGCATACCGAGGAGCTACCGCCATACAGCAGATATCCGGACGAGGCGTATGCGAGGAAAACCATGGCGAGCAACGAGCAAGAAACGGATGCCGATGCGGCACCTCAGCAACCAGTATTGAGTCCGCCCATCCCCGGAGCAGGAGGCATCGGGCTGGCGACACGGAACCCCGAGTTCGAATCAAGGGATGATCTTGACACACCACAATCGAGGCTTTCTACACGGAGTGTCACATCTGATTCTGTCAGTCAACACGAGATCAACACAGCCGCCCAGACCTTCAACGAAAAGGATGACCATCGCTGGCAGAAGAGAGCGAAGAAACGCATGTGGGGCGTGGTGCCGTACTGGGCTGTCTGCCTCGTAGCAGTCGCTCTCCTTGTCATGTGAGTCTCGCTTTGAATCGGCACGAAACACGTAGCGTGGACTAACCACCTCACAGGGGCATTGTCCTTGGTGCGGTCATAGGCACGCTTTTCGCGAAAGAGGATTCCAATAAGCCGGGCCAGAAACCAGACGAGAGCGCCATACCAATCACATACACGACGCAAACACTGGACACGTTGCCCTTACCAACCAAGCCTGCTGACCTGCCTCCCCTCGACACGGGAACCTTCAGCTTACCACCACTGGTTTCCAGTCAGGCTCCTACCACATGTTTCAACGACACTACTCAGGCTCAGGCTTGGACTTGCAACATTCCGTTTACAATATACGCCATGGCTGTTTCTAAGCTGCCCAATGGCACACCTGTATCAGACTACACCCTTCAGCTGACCCTCTCCAATGGTTCTAGTATTTCTGGCTTGTACAATTGGGGCACTCAACCACCGACGATTGATGATCCCATAATCATGAGACTTGTCAAGGATAACGATGCACCAGAACTGGGCCCCGCCTGGTTTGCTCAAGTTGCCTACAACAAGACTGTGATCATTGCGGAAGACAGGTTTCCTAACGTTGGGTCCATGTCAAGTAAGACGACAGTCAAGCGGAACTGGAGCTTGGAACCCCCCAAGGACCTTAAGGGCAAGGGCGTCATCGGTACCAATGCCGGGGACAGGCCATGGATTTGCACATGGCCCGGAACTCTGCTCGAGGTCTTCATTTATCCTTCTGAGAACAACAGTTTCAGCGGCTCGCCTAGTCCGTCTACTTCGAGCGACGCTACAACATCAACAGCACCCACGTCATCTACTAACGAGCAACCGGCCGGTGCGCCATATGGGCCTCCGACAACCACTACGAGAACGCCGAAACCGCCGGCGCCGCCTTACCCTAAAATTATGAAGATTGAAGAAAGTCGGATTTCCGATGACGACACCCGTGCTGCTGTCTGTCAACAGGTTGAGATCTGCGATGACGGTTTTACCTCCGTGCCTGTGATTGGCGCCGATGGAGATCCAATCGAGGTCATCATTGTCGAGAACCAGCGGCTCGTCGCGTACCACTTTGAGGAATCGAAGCGTTCGGTCAGAGACAACTCTCTGAGGCCAAGAAATAGTCAGCCTTATAGTCAGTTGAGCGAGTGTGGGTGCATGTGGTGGTTCACATGAAACTGGTTGAGCAGCGAACGGCGACGGTAGATTTCATGTGTTGAATGTATCAAACATTGGGCGACAGGAGATATTAGTATCCTGACGTGGGAGCTGGCGTTCTGGTTGCTTGGAGTTTTAGCATTTCTTGTTTTGCCTGGGTTATACCCCATCAGCAGCCTGATTCTACGAGTCGAGCCTACTTTCACAAGCGTCGAGGTGATGCAAGGCCGGGTACGAATTTTATGTACCAGTAGGCTTGGAGGATGGCCACAGGAATGAACATAGGCCGCATGGTCTGCAATGGCTATATCTGTCCTTGTCTTGTCTCTCCTATCCGGGACATATAGAGCATTTTATCAATTACAGCGGCGGGGTTCCTTCTGGCTACGGACGACACCTACGCACGCATAGATAGATCAAATGACCATGAGCTTAATTGGTTTAGGTCGTGAATATGCATCAAGAATGATCTGGTGCACCCTGAATCATGTTGAGATTGGTGGCTTATGCCTCGGTTTCGTCTTTACTGTCCGACTCGCGACCACCGTAATCTGCGGCTAGAGTATCAAGGAAGTTGTCAGCCATCTTCTTAGCCCTTCTGCCCTCGAGCTCTTTCCTCCTTTCCTCTATTTGCTGCCGCCTAGCCTGCTTCTTGTCATCCAGCGCTCGTCTCTTCTCTTCCGTTTGCTGTCTCTCCTTCTCCAGGTTTTCCATTTCGGCCATCCGTGTTTCCTCGTCCCGGCTGAACTTGTAGAAGCCTGCTCCTTTCGTTCTGATCTCGCTGTCTGCATCGTAGTGTTTGGCTTCGGGTGGCGTCGGACTCCTGTCACGTTTGCGCGCCAGCGCGTCCATATTTTCTGCATCTTCGGGCACGAAGGCGAGCGTTTGTATCGTGTCACCGTAAATGATTTGAGTCGGGGCCTTAGGGCGAGCCGCCATGCCCTCCAGTGCCTCTGCGCCCAGAACACCACGCCGGCGCTGGCGCTCTAGTCGGTCGATCTCGGCCTTGGTACCGCGCCTCAATCGACCGAATTCATCCTCATATTCAACCAGCTCATTGCCATCTGTATTATTCTCAGATGATTTTCCTTTGTCGCCTCCACCGTCGTAATCGTTGTCGGACCCCGAGCTAGACTCGTCATCTTGCTCACGCTGTTCTTCCGCCTCGGCCCATTTGCGGTCAAAGTCGACGAGTGGTGCTGCCTCGTTCTCCTTGGAGACATAGTCGCCGCGCTTCATGGCGGCGTAGAGCCGAGCCTTTTCTTCCATCTTGCGCCGCGTGCTGGCCAACGTCTGCGCCTCGTCCTGCCCAGGCGCATCCTTGAGGGACAGCTTATTGTCGCGCCTCGCCTCTCGGGACGCTCTGGACTTGGACACCGCGGCATCATTCGTGATCTTCGAGGGCCCTGGCCGTGACCGGGAGGCAGCGGACGTGGTAGATGTGGCGGAACCGTTGAGTAGCGAGGTCAGTTGTGCTGTAAAGTCTAGGGTGCTCGTTAAGGCCGCGTTGTTCTTTCGCCTTTTGGGCGCGGGCTGGCCGTAGAGGTTCGGGTCTTGGGGCATGGTTGGGGCAAAGCTGTAGACAGTAGTGAAAGAAGTGTGCTCTATGCTGTAGTGAAGGAACGCTGGATCATGGGTTGGAGATGCGTTTGCGAGAAAGGGATTTCGGTTTGATCGTTGGGTAGGTACCTCAGATAGCTATTGTAGATAAGCTGATAAGGATGCGCAGAGGGTTCAGGATGCGGATGGTGATAGAGGGCTGGGAAGGGGGGGAGGAGGGGGTTCCTGGATCCACCCCATCATTGTACTGTACACCCCCAAGCACTTTGTTGGATGACTGATGTCTGTTATTTCCCCACCGATCTTCATGGATCACTAGGAAACATGAGCGACATCACTACTTCACTGTCTCTTCCTGTGCCGAATCTTTTCTTTATGCCATATGCCATATCTCAAGGCCCACCAACATGTTCACCAGTCGATGAAGGCCTGACCAGGGACAAAAACGCTTGAATACTGCGCTGCCGAAACTCTGCTATTGAAGAACAGTCTGTTACTGTTGGGGCAAGGCTTATAGCTCAAGGTTTCCTGATAAGGACTGGTAACATTTGACTCTTGCGCAGAGATGTACAAGAGCTCCCTTGATTGCTGGTAGGCACAGCAGCAGCCCGAGTGTTCTCCTGCTCTATAAAGTAAGACAGCAACAAAAGCATCACGTTTATTTCAATGGCCATCCTCGAATATCGGCCCATGTGAACTATACGCATACTGCACGATGCTCTGCCGGTCTGTCAATTTCTGGATAGGTATCGCAAGGTCATTGAACCCGCACCAAGCATGGCGATTTCGTCGGTGTATTCGTGAACCTCAAGTACTTATAGTGGTCTTTCCGTTGAACCCCTCACTTGCTCTCGCTGTTGAGGGACCCGACGCCTGCTTCCGTCCGAAACTTGCTGTAGAGCGACGTGCTTGTCTTGCTGACGGTTGTGAGGGCCCGGCTCGAGGACAGTCGCGCCGGGCCCATGCCGAGCGGCATTTTCGGTGAGTACAGGCGTCCGGCCACAGAGAAGGCGACTGAACCAGATGACAAGATCCAGAAGGACCAATATAACGGCTGGTAGTATGAAAAACAGACCCAGCGCGATCTTGTGGAAGAAAGTCAGCACCGCTGCTAAATCCGATGTCCGGGCGGGCGAATAGGAAAGCTACGTACGCAAGCACCAGAGATGTATCTGACTACTGTGGGATAGGTGGACAAAATCATCGTAGAGTCCATAAACATCTGTATCCAGGACGAAGAGACTGGCTCCTGGTCTCGATTCTCCATTGTGATATGGCCAACTGCAAAGATGGGTTTTCCTTACGGATGAGCGAAAGTGGTTTTCGGGAGCAAAATACCGAATGTGCACTGAATTTGGAAGCAATGAACGTGGCCCCGGGGACTAGGTGGCTATCGTGGGCATTCAGATGATCCCGAATGCCTGGTGCTATCATGCCTCTCTGCAAGGGACTCGAGCCTTAGACTTGATGCTCATGGAGAAAATCAATGCTGAAGAAATCCATCCAGGCATTTCATGACATCAGGGGTCGTGACAGTCTGTTGGGGGACAGAAACTTTGCGCAGTTGAGGAATGCAAGTGATCCGCTATGGTAGGCAGTAAGATGTTGTTAATGAGATGTAACTGATGTTGCATGCATTTCGTTCGATGACACTGAGTGATCACCCACACACGCGGGTGGCAGTGCTGGAAGGAGACGCTGGGGTGTTCATACGCGCGTGGGGAAGATGGAAGGGGTCCATACGCACCGGCATACCTGGGAGGTGTCCGACAGGGGTCTGTGTGCTGTGCCCCGCCTTCCACTCACTCACCTTGAACGCGAAAACTCCACCAAGCCTGCCCCACGATTAGGATTCGCATATGCTTCACAATCAGTTAAGCCACCTCTATTACTCATTCTCCTATCCACCCTGAGGAACTTCTCCGCAACACCTGAGAATTCACGGAGACACAGAGGAGCCCGAAGTGCCTTCCCTTAAGAAACCATGGGCCGAACGAAAAGTCGAGCTGAGCAGCGCGATAGCTGGCGCAACACTCGCGATCAAGATGCTACCGACATGCCCAGAAAGAAGTTCTATCGGCAAAGAGCACACGCGAACCCCTTCTCCGACCACCGTTTGGCTTAGTACGCTGCAGATCTATTCTTAAATTGGCATCGCCTCGCTGACTTTGTTCTTCGTAGCCCTCCAAAGCCAGACTGCATGGACTGGTCATCCTTCTACCCAGGCTTTGTTGCGAACAGAGACGATCAGACTACGCTATCAACCCCTGCGAGCGAAGCACTTCCCACAGTAAAACCTCTGACCCAGAGTGTCGAGGTTGTAGACATTGGGTGCGGGTTCGGCGGCTTACTTGTAGCACTTGCACCTTTGTTGCCCAATAAACTTATCCTTGGTCTGTACAAGTATAATGTCCTAGCCTGCCGTGTCAGTACTAACCTTACCTCGGGACAGGTTTGGAAATACGAGCCCAAGTATCCGAATTTGTACAGGAGCGCATACGAGCCCTGCGAGCCCAGAACGTCGACACAGCTTTATACCAAAATATCGCCTGTCTCAGGGCCAACACCATGAAATTTCTTCCCAACTTCTTCGCCAAAGGCCAATTATCTAAAATCTTCATCTGCTTCCCCGATCCGCATTTCAAGACCCGGAAACATAAGGCCAGAATCGTATCGCCAACGTTGAACTCGGAATACGCGTATGCACTTCGTCCAGGCGGTATAGTTTACACGATCACGGATGTTGAAGCTTTACACCGATGGATGGTCGAGCATTTGGAAGCTCACCCGTCATTTATTAGATTGACAGCCGAGGCTGAAGCTTCGGATGAGTGCGTCAAGGTCATGAAGTCCGAGACGGAGGAAGGCAAGAAGGTTGAGCGGAACAGCGGCCACAAATTTGTGGCTATATTCCGTAGGCTGGAAGACCCCTCTTGGTGATGGAACGTCAACAAAACCTCCATGAACAGGTTTAAATCTGATGAATCCGATCATGGACTTGCCACAACCCGATGCTTGATGATTTGCAAGCAAGTCAAGCAGGTTGCACCGCGCCTGGGCGGGCTTCTTTACGCGTCGGGCCAACTATGTGTACTAGGAACAGGCACCTCGCGAGGAGTAGGACACTGATCCGATTCCCCCTCGCTCGAGGCCTAGTAGTGTTTCTGACTTGAATCTGCCACAACGGGCATGCCTAGTCACATGGCTTGCTCACAGTCTATGGCTGCTTTAAAGGGAACAACATGCGTCTGAGTTCCAGTCTTGGCGAGCCATAGTGTCCCTGGCAGGGATAAGATGCTTTCTTCGGCTGTACGATAGAGCAATACGAAGTAAATCATTCGAGTCTCGGCTCAAAAGAAACGTACACAAGCACGGCAGTCTGACCAAGTCACATCTGTCTGTTCAACTAGTCTTACGTTGAATGCAGCATTAAATTGCATGGTGTAGTCCTCGAGTCGTTGACAGGGATGCGCCTTATCTGCATCATGGGTCAGCCTCACCGCCTGCCAATCAGGGGCGCTTGTTGTGCGACAGCTCGCCCAAGTGTCCCGGGATTCCCAAAGCCCCCCCTCTACGACTCCTATGCGACATCAGATACGAATTCTAGCGACAGCATGATTATGACTGCAAGTCATGCCATGACAATCTTCACTATTTGGATTGCTGGATTATGGCTCTCTCAAAAAGAGACCTAATCCTCGCCGGCTTCGCATGCTTTGTCGGTTGGGGATACGTCGTTAGCTGGGCTCCCGCGCTACGATGGTCAGGTTACGCCTATTTCAGCGGCATTGCTTCGACCTTGTTCGCCATCCTTTTGGTCATTCTCCTTACTTCCAGGGGCTCACGAATCGCTCTTAATCACCGGTCTCCCCGCCCGAATGGCGCCATCTTCCATGGACCGACGGCATGGGCAACCGATTGCGCCAGCCTACAAGTTCGACAATCGTATTCAAAGACGTCACTATACGCCAGCCTGCCGAACGTCTCCAGCGCCCTTGACGACCTCCTTGGACTTATTATGCGCGACTTCGTTTCTTCTTGGTACTCCCACATAAGCAAGAACCCCACCTTCCCAAACGAAGTTGATAAGGCCGTCCGTATCGCTCTCGGCAATCTTCGAAACCGGCTGTTGGAGCTCGACCTCGCCGAAATAGTCACCAGCAGGCTTGTTCCCGTATTGACAATACACTTCAAAGATTTCTGCGATGCGGAACACTCGGTTCGAGGGAAGAAACTCAACCGCTCTGTTACGGAGTCTGAAGAGCTGGATCTTGCCATAGCGTCCAAGTATAGAGAGGGCAAGCTACATCCCGCAGCCTCTCTGTCTTTTCCCGATACGAAGCTTGTGCAGCAAGACTACTTGCGGAAGACTGTTGCCCGCATTCTTCCCAGTTTGTTGCCACCGAATCTACTCGCCAGCCGCGCCGTGTCCATCATAATCCGCGAAATTGTGGCCTGTGCCATCCTCTTCCCAGTGCTACAATTACTTGCGGAACCTGATACGTGGAATCAAATCATGGAGAACTACGGGAGGTCGATGCTCCAGGACCGCTCAACTGTGCGAAAATTGAGGGCAGCTCTGGACCAACATGCCTCCCCAGCACCTAAGCCGGGCAAAGCTGCGATCATACCCCGCCTTGTCCCTGGTGATAGCGAACGCAAGTTCGAAAAGTTTATCCGCGCAATCCGGAAAGTCAATAACCTCTCCGACGCTCGGCGCCTTCGAAGTGAAATTGCCAGCCTTTACAAGCGGGACTCGTCACAGGAGAACCAAGACCAGGTCTATCTTCGCCGTCTGGACATGGGAAAACGCCTGCTTGATCAAAAGGTACAGCTCCTTGCCGTCGGCGGAGACCACAAAGCTGCAGCGCCTGCTGCATCGATGAATATCCCGGCACCGAGAACATCCAAGTTGGAGAATGCAACGCTCGTTGATCTCTTGCGCGACTCGTCCGGGTTATCGTACTTCATGGAATTCATGGACAGGCACCATGTATTGCCCCTGGTGCAGTTCTGGCTCGTTGTCGACGGCTTCCGGAACCCGTTAGAGGAAGAGGAAGCCAACGATGAGCAGATGCCGTCGCAGCTTCCCATGTGGAGCGACTCTGATCGACTTGACCTCGCTCAGATTGAGCAGGCATACATGACCAATCCTCAACTGAACATATCGCAAGCTGCCAGGAGTGAGGTGCGAGCTTTCTTGAGTGCCGGCAAAGCTGCTACGCCGGAACAGTATTACAAGGCTAGACGAGCCATACTCGGGGCGCAGTCCGCTGTATTGGAAAATATGCAGGGACGGTATTTCCAAAGTTTCAAGAAATCAGATCTGTTCTACAAATGTCTAGCCTCGCAGGAGGCTTCAGCACTGCAACTCCCTATTTCACATCCTTCCCACACGCCATCATCTCACGAACCCTCAGTAGCCGGGCCAGCACACCCGCCGACACATAGAGCTTCGCAATCGTATCAAAACAAGCCCAAGTCTGCCACACGACCAACTCCTCGACTCGCGCATCTGCAGCCCAAGCGTGGCGGCTCTGTGACAGACTTGAGGTCCATAGAGAGCAGTGGCACTGGCATTGATCATCTTGCAAATTCACGGCAATCCCTAGACGAGGAGCCCTCCAATCGGCTATTCGACGACGAGGAACTCGATGTCGACGGCATGATAGACTCTGTGCAGAGCTTAGATCAAGACATCGACCAACTTGTGCCAGACACAACTGTGGTGCAAGCTATGGAAGAAGCACTAAATAATATCATGGAGGACGGTGATCGACCCAAAACGGCCGAGGAATTCAGAGCTTCTCTATTCGGACCGGAGGAGATGCGGCCAGCTAGTCTCTTTTCAGGCGATAACGATTCGACACGGGGCTCGGTGGATGCTGTGAAAACTATGGCAGCCGCAAAAGATGGCGAAAGACCAAGTCTGTCGTCACTGGGCCTCGTCAGCGCTGCGTCGCGCATTGGCGTCTTCGTGGACGATGATCTATTTGGTGACGAGGACAGGTACATTCCTGAGGAGCAAGATGATCTGGCCGACGAATCACGAGCGGATGAAGATGATGAAGTACACGAGGCTGCTCCTGGCGACCTGGGCTTAGCAGAAGCCATCGCAGCATTATCTAATGACATTGAGCGTCTAGCCGCCCAGGATGCCATCGTTGATTCTCTTACTCGAAAAGCAGAACTGACAAACAACACAGCCGAGCTTCGCATTTTAAGAAAGTCTAAAGCGAGCTTGCAACGAGAAATGCGGCGCAAGGAACTCCAGAGGCAGCAGTACGTGGTGCAAGAAAGCGACAACAGCTTATACGGGCGGTCTACAGTCAGGATAAAGTCTATCCAAGTGGGACGAGAAGATGACGGCAGGGAATTCGCCTTGTACGTGATCGAAGTGCAGAGAAACGCTGGCGAGAAGATGCCGGCAGCTACGTGGATGGTGACAAGACGGTACAGCGAGTTCCACGAGCTTCACCAGAAGCTTCGTTCAAGCGTACCATCTGTCAGAAACCTCGATTTCCCTCGGCGACGGGTCATGATGAAGTTCCAAAGCGAGTTCCTTCGTAAGCGGCGAGCTGCTCTGGAAGTCTATCTACGTGAACTTCTTCAGTTGCCAGAGGTATGCCGTAGCCGGGATTTGCGCGCATTCTTATCGCAAAGCACAATTGCCGAGGGTCAGGACCTCGTCGACCGAGAGTATCAGAGGGATATGATCACCCGTCTATATGACTCGGTAACGGACGGCATGGAAGATATTTTGGGTAACATCCCGGTCCTTGACCAGCTATCGGTGGCTGGGCAGAACCTCATCGCGGCGGCCACCAGCCAGCTCAACACCATGCCCTTGGGTGTAGCCGAGAACGGCATCAGCGCGGCCGAGGCTGAGGCTGAGCTGAACGCTTTTGAAAACAAGGAATTAGAGCCCTTCATCAAACCAATCTGCGACATCTTTCTGGAGGTATTCGAGCTAAACAGGGGCAACAACTGGCTTCGCGGCCGGGCTGTTGTTGTGGTGTTGCAGCAGCTCCTGGGAGGCACGATTGAAAGGAAGGTAAGAGACAACGTCAAGTCACTCGTTCAAGAGGAAGCCATACTCCGTTATATCGGACTGGTGCGCGACAGCATGTGGCCCGACGGACAGGCACGAAAAGAGCGAAAGGCCAGAACTGCATCTGAGAAGAAGAAAAGTCGCACAGAGGCTAGCTTGATGCTGGCAACACTCGTTCCTGATGTTGCCGGCAGTGTCGTAGGGAGGGCGAACGCCCAGGCTGCAAGCAGACGGATATTCGCGACTCTCAATAATTCCAGGCTCAAGTATGCGCATCCTCACCCATTTCCGGTCTACTCAACTAATGACAGAACAGCGCTCATCTTGCCTTCACTCTGATGGACGAGTTTATAGATATATTGTTTGAGTGACACAGTGTTTGGGCGAGGCAGGGTTGTGATCCGAGGCTTTGGAGGATGGGAATCATTGCATGCATAGAAGATTGAGAATTTTACCCAGAGGCGTCTGGATGCCAACTGCATTGGTAGCAGCCTTCAATTCAATCGAATTGCTTTATTCACAGGACGGAAGACTGCTGGCTTGACAACACCCGTTCTACTACGAGCTTTTCAACCACAACAACTTTAATATACGCTATTGGAGCTGTAATTACCGGACCAAGCGACAAACTGAGGTCGTCCGTGATTGAAAGCGCGTCCAATGTCGAGGAGCTCTTACTCTAGCCAGCCGTCAAGCTCTCGGTAGTGCCCTGCGTGGCAGGGGGCTGGAGAGGCTTTGGAGGTAGGTACTTAGAGGTACTCTTCTATCCTGCCGGTGGCTTGCACAGCCGCACGGCACAACGTCAGCCCGTGGAGACCGTTTACACCTTCTCCACCCTCCTTGGTGCACAACACCCCCTGCCACATTATGCTCAAGTCTTCCCCACCTGGACCTCTAGGCGAGCCATCGAAAGCTCCTCTGCAGCTACCTACTCCAGTGTGCTTGCATCCAGTTGACCACGATTTAGCCGCTCCGCCTTCTACACCTCCCAATTCCACCTCTTTCCATCAGCGGAGGAGCTGGCGACACCAGGTCATCACGGCTAACAACCTCACCGACGGCGCTGCCATCGAGACTCTTGCGCTGCTGTAGCTGCAGCCGTAGCCCAGCGTCAATCTTATCAACTCAACCCACTCGGACCTCAGCCTTTGATACCCCCATACTTCCAACCTCTTGTCTGACACCGAGGTTCCTGCGCGCCAACCTTGATCACTTGGTTTCTCCCGACAGTCCCTCATCGCCCACTCCTCCCATTGCGGTCACATCCTTCTGCATTTCTGCATCATCACAGCAGTTCCTCCGAACTTGGACACGTCGAGCGAATCGATAAACCCTTCAAAGACAGGCGCAGCCTCTCCATCCCGGCTCCACTCCACGACAAGATGACCGAGGTTTCGTCCACCAGGCTCTACCTGGGCAACCTCCCGCGTAATGGTAAGAAAACTCTCCTTTCTACAGAGATATTGTTTGATCATGAATGTCATGATTCATCAATAACTCTGCAGCAATGACTGACAGGCTGCTTGCGACTAGTTACCAAAGCTGAAGTTGAGGGACACTTTGCTACCCATGGAACTGGCGAAATTACTGAGATAAAACTCATGAATGGATTTGGCTTCATCGAGTACAAGGACGCCATGGATGCGCGTGATGTCGTTCCTGGTATGTTGACAAGAAAATGAAAATGGCTCTTCTACAGTATGACATCGTTGCTAACCTCACCACACAGCCTTCCGTAAGCCTAGAGCCTCGACCGTCAACTGTACCAACCAACGAACCATCTCGCTAACCAAATATCACCAGACGGATCTGACTTCATGGGCGAACGTCTGACCGTTCAATTCGCTCGTGGCACCCGGCACCGCGATGGCGGCGCCGCTCCTGGTGGGTTCAACAACAACAACAACAACAACACGCACAACGAGCGGGCTGCACCCCGACCACGCCGTACCCAGCACCGGATGCAGATTACGGGACTACCCACGGATACCAGTTGGCAGGTCTGTTGTTCTCTCCCATTCTCATAATCTGGATCCCCGGGCTTCTACCCCTTTCCCGTTTCTTGGGCCTGCGCTCTACATCCCGGACTTATCCCCTCGGCTCAACTTGGCGTCCCTTACCAGGCGCCCCAGTGAGGCTCTGCGGCTCTACCTGGGCTAGCATCTCGATTTCTCACCAGCCTCTTGAGTCCGAAAGGATGCTTCCCGTTCCTCCCCCGGTGGATGTCGACTACTGGCTATCTTCCGTCGCATCTGGCTTCTTTTTGGCTTGGACAACAATTTCCCCACCGACACGTGACAACAGCGTCCTGGACACCGACTTACTTGGAATTCTGGAATAGGACCTGAAAGACTTTGCTCGTCAGTCCAGCCTTGACGTTGTCTACTCCGAGACTGGCCGCGATGGCAATGGACGCGGGTAAGATGTGTCCCTTTAACCAGCTTCACCAGCATCTGCTAATCTCTTTGTCAGCTTTGTTGAATTCGAAACCGCTGCCGACCTCAGAACCGCTGTAGAGAAGCTAGACGGTCGAGAGTTCAAAGGCAAACCTGTCAACTGCGTTGCCGACGTGAGTCAAATTTCAGAGCACCCCTCAATGCATGTATATGACTTACGCAAAGACAGACCCAGCCCGACATTCCTCCACGTGACAACCGAGGTCGTTCCCGATCCCCCAACGGCCGCCGCCCTCCTCCTCCTCCTCCAGTGGACGACTACGATCGTCGCGGACCGCCCCGCGGATACAGTCCCCGTGCCTATCGCGACGGCTACCGTGACAGAAGCCCTCGCAGAGAGTACTACGACGAAAGGGCTCGCTACCGGTCGCCACCCCGGCGCCCCATGGATGACTATCCCCCTCCTCCCCCGCGCGGTCGCTACGACGATCCCTATCGCCGGGACTATCCCCCGCCTCCTCCGGACCCATACGCCAACAGCAGGCCTCCTTATGAGCGACCTCCTCGTGACTTCCCCCCTCCGCGCGACCCTGGATACCCCCGCGATCCTTACCCTCCCCGCGAGTATGAACGTGGCGGCCGCTACTGGTAAATAATCGCCATGCACGAGTTACTTTCAGGGTCCTTTTCTGACGGGTTCCTGCTAGATCCCGTGCCGCTAGGAACTCCGTTGCGGCGCAAAAGTACGCTCAGGCTGGTAGTGTAGCCGTGGTTTGAGGCAAGGACAAGCCATCTTCCAGCGGCCCTCAGAGGGGCCATCCCGGGGTGGGCGCCGTTGTCGCGTCACTGTACCGATCTCTTCTCCGAGCTAAGTCAGCAGTCCACAGAGCTCATATTTCATGTATTCCTTACGTTGGCGAATCACGATGATATGGCATGCCTATTTATGTGGCGTGGCCACTGGCGTAGGTCTCTGGTTTGAGGGTGCAAAAAAGGGGGCTGGACGAGGCCGGATTGCAATGATGTTTCTTGTACAATAATGACCATGACCTCCGAACAAATTGAACTTGCACTCGGTACTCAACTTGCTTCAAGTACATTGAATGAGTGACCAGACACAGCGCAGACATGAAATGAACAAAAAGACGTGGCGCATCAGAACCAGTAACCAAGCTACGCTACGCCGTCTTCTTCCACTGTGTATATACCCCGATGAGACTGCTGACGGTTCCAGCAAGGCCGACCAGGCCATCATCGACGGCAACCCAGCCCAGAGCCGAGGTCGGCACGGACAGGTCGCAGACATCAGACAGGAGCTGAAGTCGGCTAGCAGCTCGTTCCCTGCGGAGAGTTAGCACGTTTATTTGATGAGGAGAGGGCAGAGCACGACGTGGTGCCGTTTTGGGGCTGTCATACAGGGCTATCCTCTTTCCCTCGACCACGCCTTCACCATCCTTCTTATCGACTCGCGCCTCGCGCTGCTGGAGGCGATAGAGCGTGTACACCTGCGCGACGACGCTGCAGGCAATACCCATGGCCCAGAAGCGATAGGCCTCGCGCTGGAGGGTCTTGGCGCGGGGCGACTTGCGGATGCCGACGGCATCTAGGACGGTGGCCATGTCAAAGGAGAGGTAGCCGGCGTAGCCGAGCTGGCGGCCGACGGCGGCGTAGCGCAGGATGGGATCCGTGGTTTTGGCGTCGGAAGCGGCGGCGGCGGCCTTGAAGTGCTCGACGTTCTTGCCGACGCGCATCAGCTTGCGGGTCAGGCCAAACTGTTTCTTGATGGCATCCCAGGGAGCAGTCTGCGCAGCCGTGCCGTTGGTGCGGAGGAGGTACCAGGCATAGAAGCGGGCAAAGTATTGAAGGGTACGCAGCAACTTGTCGCGCCCGACGGTGGTTGCGACGAAGCGCAGGTAGTGCGCCACAGAGGGGTGGTAGATGAGAGCGTCGGCGACCATGATGCGCGTGCTGTCTGATTATCCAGGGTCGGTGGAAAATATGGAGGGGTGCTGGAGTTTCGGGTATGGCGATGCAAAGATTCACGTCGTTGGCGAGGGATGAGGGATGAGGGATGAGGGATGGCTGATTCGGACAATACAGCGATCGATCACAAGCAAGGCAGATAAACACACACAGCTTGCCGGATTAGCAGCAAACGCACGTTCAGGAAGGGCCGAGTAAGGCGTTTGGGTGCGAGCTCGTCACGTCGCAGCACATGCCGAGGTCCACCACATTACCGGCCGGACGCAAGTGGGGAGTCAGTGTCTCTGGGCTGGACGCAGGCTGCTTGGACAGTGTCAAGCTCAGGCTGCTTTCCAAGGCATCATGATCACGTGGCTGGCAGCAGATCCGAACACACCAGTTTGGCACCACCACAGATAGTGTGGGGTTGCGTACAGCCACTTCAGCCACATGTATTCCCTTCGTCATGAAGACATGAGCTCGTGGGGCCAATTTCGTCAATAGGCGTGATGGGAATACCATCGTGATTATATAACGACGGTCCAGCCTCGAAGGGAGAGAGTAGAGAGGGGTCAAGGGGAACAGGGCCAGTGCTGGTGAGGGGCATGTACGTATCGCTCGGCGCGACGCATAGCGAAGGTTTCCGAGAAATCCTCGCGATTCATCCCGCCTGCTCGCGGCGCTCTGCCCCGCATCTCCAGTCTCGGGTTCCCCTCGGCCGGGAACAAGACAAAGACGTGGGAACAGCATCGCGCTCACGTCACGTCCACCAGTAACCAAGGAGGTCATGGCACTTTCCTAGCAGCGCCAGCCTTGGATAGCCGTCTGCCGAATCGTGGAACCCTGGAGCCAACGGGGCCATGGGGGCATTCGTCGGGTCTGCCCGGCGCCTCGCAACAACTTGATGCCGCATGATGTTCCGTCTCGTCAATCGTTCCCGCTCGTCACTCGTGCTGTATTTCCGTCTGGGGTCTCGTGGTGGAAAGATATACTTCGACCAGTCCGTCTCCTTTTCTGCCTTTTCGTCTCGTCCCGACTGTCTCACCTCTCCACATTCAATCCCGTCAAAGACACTGGTCCTCGCCTGCTTCTTCTCGTCCGAAGCAGCTCTTTTCCGTCATCTGCCCCTCTCTCCCTTCGCTTCCGGATCTGCAGCACATTGCCCCTCCATTGCCGCATCGTGAACCCCTCGCCCCACCAGGTGACCCAGATCACGCTCAGCTTTCGCAGGCAGCTATTCGCATTGCACCGCCTCTATTCCAACGCATTGCGCAGAGTCAATCATCCTCGGCCCTTCGCCATACAATCATCTACAATGTCGGCTTACACGACCAACACTGGTGGCGGAGAGACGGAGAAGATCAACACCAACATCGTGACCCTCACCCGGTTCCTCACGGAAGAGCAGGCGAAACACAAGGAGGCCACCGGAGATTTCACGTAAGCACCAATTCGTCTGCCACGATCTTCTGCAACCTTCTAACGTTCGTTCCAGTCTTCTGTGCCACGCCCTGCAATTTTCCTTTAAGTCCATCGCCTACTACATTCGCCGCGCCACCCTCGTCAACCTGACCGGCCTGGCTGGATCCTCCAACACAACAGGCGATGATCAAAAGAAGCTGGATGTCATCTCCAATGACCTCTTCATCGAGGCCATGAGGTCCTCGGGCAAGTGCGCCCTGCTCGTGTCTGAGGAAGAGGAGGAAGTCATCTTTTTCCGAGATGCCACTGGTGCCCGCTACGCCGTGGCCTGTGATCCCATTGACGGCAGCTCCAACCTAGATGCTGGTGTGTCTGTCGGCACCATCTTTGCCATCCACAAGCTGCCCGATGGCTCCTCCGGAACCAAGGAGGACATCCTCAAGCCCGGCACCGAGCTGCTGGCCGCCGGTTTCACTATGTACGGCGCCTCAGCCCAACTGGTCATCACCATGAAGGGAGGCAGCGTCAACGGGTTCACCCTCGACAACGGTGTCGGCGAGTTCATCTTGACCCACCCCGACATGCGCCTGCCCAAGTCCCGTGCGATCTACTCCGTCAACGAGGGCAACTCGCTCTACTGGGAGGACAAGACGAAGAACTACTTCAACTCGCTCAAGGAGCTGCAGGACAATGGCAAGCCCTACAGCGCCAGGTACATCGGCAGCATGGTCGCTGACGCGTACCGTACCCTGCTGTATGGCGGTGTCTTTGCTTACCCCGCCGACAAGAAGAGCCCCAAAGGCAAGCTCCGTATCCTCTACGAGTGCGCACCCATGGCGCTGATTTTTGAGAATGGTATGTCTACTCTCCCCGGGCTACACTGTTGACGAGCGTATGCTGATTAGACTGTGCGTAGCCGGTGGCCAAGCCGTCGACAGCAACATGACCCGTCTGCTGGAGCTCGTTCCGGAGCACATTCACGACAGGGCGGGTATCTTCATGGGTAGTTATGATGAGGTTGAGAAGATCAAGGCATTCCACAGCTAAGGGTAGCGAATCAAGGGGACAACGGAAATGACATGGTGTTTCACTCGGATAGAATGATATGAATTCCTACGCTTGCTGCCTGCCATTTACCTGCATTTGCCTGCAGCGGCGGCATGCAGCTTCAGAATAGCTTGGGTATCAGCTTTGGCGTATTCTCCTTCCACGCTTGGTAGTCCTTCCTGTGACCATAACGCTCGTTGTATTTCTTCTCGCTCAGGGGCACGCCGGATATCTTCAGCAGTAAGAAGCTGACGAATGCCGGGCTAACATAGGACATGCCCATGGCGAGCGCGGACCCAGCAATGCCTAGGGGTAGACCCAGCCCCGCCCGAATCGGTCGCGCTGCGAGGACACCGAAAGCTGCGGTTGCAATGCCTGTCCACAGCGAGATTTCTCCGAAGTAATTGGGGAACTGACTACAGTGCATGTGTTAACATTTGGCTGTAGCCTAGGCGGCTTTTGCCAATTCTTTCCGCAGGAGAGTGGCTTACCTGCGACTCCACAACCCACGGGTGAGGAACTCCTCATCGTGAACCTTGGCCTTCTTCTCCGCCGCCCACTTGCTCTTCTGCCTGTCTGCGATAATCTCGTAGGCGAAACCGCCAGCGTATACAAGAAGTCCGAGCACGTCCGTGGCTTGGACGGCCGGGATGGAGGCGAATGCAGCAGCCGGAACAGCGTTCAATGTGATGACGGGGAGGAGACAGAGCGAAACCCAGGTCGCCTGTGCTGTGAATGCCACGGCGAACTTGGCAGGACTGCGTTTGATTTCGTCGAAACGCGAATCCTGGCCGTCAGACAAGACGCGCTGGAAGAGGTAGGACCCCACTAGATTTGTCAGTTCTTGCTCTCTCTTGGGGGTTTTGTATGTTGAGCGGAAATACATACATCTCAAGGCCCAGAAGACCACGGCACCCGAAAGCACGACTTGGCGCCAGTTCAACGCCCCAAGGCCCCCAGGGGAGGTGAATGGGGCCAGTATGCTTGGGAGGCCCGGTTGAGCCGAGGACACATTGTTGACGCGCACCGAAGGGAGGTAAAGGCTGAGAGCTGTCACGGAGAGGAACGTCAACGACCCAGAAAAGTCGTAGAAGCGCTCACTTTGACAGATGATGGAAGGAACGGCGAACGCTGCCTGAATAGCGAAGGCTGTCGATATCGAAGGCACTAAAGTTCGCAAAAGGGGGTTGCGGAAGTTTGACATTCGCAGAAGGAATTGAAATAGAGGCATTGCGTGAAGACACTCTGTGGGTGAATATGTCTGGTGAATGATGATGCTCTCGCGAGGTTCTGAACTGACTGATCATTCGCGTGACGGTCACAGGGGGCTCTCTTAAATATATGACGACATGACTTAAAGTGTACATGCATGGTAGCTGGTGTTTTGCACGGAGCTCGGAGCTATGACCGAAACCGGGGTCAGTGCCCCTCGTCCTTCGGTTGCCAAAGGCGTAACATGAAGAATGGATCTGACCAAGCAGGTGCAGACCTGGCCGCGCCTCGCAATCGAAGTATTGTTAATTATCCACCAAGACGCATGAAAAGGCGCTCTTTCAAGCTGACATCTGATCCGTGACATTCGTCTCGAATCGACAGCAAGTCGGGTCTCTGTAAAGAGATAGAGTGGGGCGCTGCCCCGCACTCGTCACTGATAAACCCCTCCATTCCATCTCCTACATAATTTGGACTCATCCTGCTCCGATTGCGCTACGTCGCTCTCGAACAAACACAGGACGGACACCATATCACATTGCGCCGTTGCACCTTCACAAGAAATGTCAGCTGCCAACCAGCAAGTTTTAATAGCCATAATCGGTAAATACCCGGACTCCATGCAATGATGTTTGCAGTACTACTCTCGAGGCTGCTTGGATCGCTAACGAACTTTGGCTTTGTCAAGGCGCCGGCGGTGTTGGCAAAAGCTTTCTCTCCCAGCTTACAACACTGGCTGCTCGCAGGCCCTCGCCTAAGCTGAGCCTGTGCTTCATCTCTACCAGCAAGAAGTCTCTCTACAGCAGCGATTACGCACCGATCGACGCCGAGAAGGCTCTCGATGGCCTGGCCGCTTCCACCCAGGCCGCGCCCTCTGTCGCACAATTGACAGAGTATCTGGCCTCGGCTCCCGCCAAAGTCGTCCTTGTAGACAACACGAGCTCCGAAGACATTGCCAGTGCCTACCCTGGCTTCTTAAGCCGTGGCATCAACATCGTCACGCCGAACAAGAAAGCCTTTTCAGGCTCTTACACGCTGTGGGAGAGTATTTTCTCCTCTGCCGCCAAGGGTGGCGCCCACATCTTCCACGAGTCGTCTGTTGGAGCTGGACTTCCCGTTATTTCCACTCTGAAAGAGCTGGTGGAGACGGGGGATCGCGTCACCAAGATTGAAGGTGTTTTTAGCGGCACCATGTCTTTCCTCTTCAACAGCTTTGCTCCAACCTCGGGCGCCGGGGGCAAATGGTCCGCTGAGGTGAAGAAGGCTAAAGAACTTGGCTACACCGAGCCCGATCCGCGCGACGATCTGAATGGTTTGGATGTCGCTCGCAAGTTGACCATCCTGGCCAGATTGGCTGGACTACCCGTGGAGTCCCCTACGTCGTTTCCCGTCCAGAGCCTGATCCCTAAGGAGCTCGAAAGCTGCACCAGCGGCGATGAGTTCATGGAAAAACTTCCTGGCTTTGACTCTGAGATGGAACAGACTAAGCTTTCTGCTGAGAAGGAGGGTAAGGTTGTGAGGTTTGTCGGCAGCATTGATGTCGCCTCTAAGCAGGTCAAGGTCGGCTTGGAACAATTCGATGCCACGCATCCCATTGCGGCACTAAAGGGCAGTGACAACATCATCAGCTTCTACACTGAGAGGTATGGTGGCAACCCACTCATCATCCAAGGTGCTGGAGCGGGAGGCGAGGTAACAGCTATGGGGGTGACTGGCGATTTGCTTAAGGTCTTGGCTCGTATCTCGTAACTTGACTGCATGATCCAGGCATGTGCTCGAGGGATGGGATAAACGAAAGCCACACGTGGGTCTAGATGTCTTTGCCAGCACAGGATCGGCTGCCCCCCTGGCAAACGCCTCCCGTTCTCCGATCCTTCATCTAGCCCAACCGCACAACCACTTTTTCCAAGAAGCCTCGCGGTGACCGTCCTGTGTATGTTTGCCTTTGTCTTGAACCTTGTCCAAGTCGGGCACTTCCACTGATGCTGTCGACGACGAAAGGGACAACGACCCGGACGAGGACCGCGTGTTGAATGCCGCAACGTGGTTGATAGCCAGTTCAAAGTCTCCCTGCTGCTCACCGAAGAAGCTATTTGATCGCGTCAACAATAGAGAAATCAACTCGTGAAAGGGTGGGTCGTCAAACCTTCGCATCATAAAACTGATTCTCTGTACATGGGCGAGATCCAGCGGGGCCGTGTCAGGTTTCGGCTTCCCTCGATATGTCGGCTTGAAATCGGCCCATTTGATAAACAGCTCCCCAGAGTCAGGATGCACAAAATCAAACTCCCAACTAACTGTACTCTGCTCGCGTCCATCGGGTCGCCGCGGCAATATCTCGTCCTTCAGCGTCAAAGTGTATTTCTTGCCGTCACTGTGACTGATGCTAATGCTGAGCCCTTCATAACAAGTCAAATCCAGGTCGAGGGACCCAACAGTCCGCTGCGATGCGAACCCAGCGCCCCCGAGCGCCGTGATGTCGAGATGACCATGGAACTCTGCTGGCCCGACATTTTGGCATCGCAAATAAGACTGACTGCGACCCCCTCGAACGCGGTCGTCGGAAGCGGTCCAAGCGCTGGACTTCCACGATCTGGGATTGAGAATGCCGGTCAGAAGAGGTTGTTGTCAGGATTGATGCTATGGGACGGTCTTACTGATCACCTCCGAAGAGAAACAACACGTGTCGGTCGGTCATTGTAGGCAAAATTATCGAGCTTGTAGTGTCCGGGATATCAATCACTGGTGTGTCGGCGTCATCGTTAAGTTTCCTAGGGACATATGGAACCTGATAAGCAATCGCCCACAGTGCTAGGCTGTGCGACGTTCTGGATAATACTGTAGTCGCCAACTAAATCAACTCGAGGTCTATTGCAGCAGAGCTACGTTGGCATTCTGCGAACACTGGGGTCATCAGCACCAATGTGTGATGATATGCACGCAAGATTGGTATGGAATTGGGGATTTTCTTTCAGTCTCCTTTCAGCTGCTGTGTTAAGAAAGATGCCAGTCCTGCCAACTGCCTCATGCGATTGATTGCGTGTTCTCCTGAGTCGTCATCCGTGGCCGTAAGTCGAGCGCTTCGACTGATAACGCCTGTTCCAACATTCGCCGAATAATAAAAAGTCAAAGTGGAAATCCATTGCCAACGCGAACTCCTTCCAAGGCCATCCGGCCTTCCCAGGTAGGCCTGGAGAAATCATAATGATGTCGCAGCCTATTTTGGCCCACGGGCTCACTGCTGGTGAACCATACCAGGTGAGCCGGGCATGGACAGTGGAGTTGTAGGATACTCGTAGCCAGATTCGGAACAGTTCGCCGAGTGGTCAAACGAGTGTGAGAGAGGTGGCGTCTGCTCATCGACTCGTCAGCTCTCCAAAACCGTGCCATAACAATCGCTGTTGCATCTAACTCACATGGGGATCGGCCTGGTCGTAGGAGTGGGCGGGTGTCATCTCTATGCCCGGGATGTAGCCGTAGTTTATGTATGAATAGCCGTCATCGCTTGGGTACGATTCTCGCTTGACGGCGTCGTTGAAGTGATTCATTGGCGGAAGGGTGACAGGGACTGATGCCGATATGTAGCTCGAGTACATTTCTGCGGTGGTGACTGGTGGGGGATAAGACTGTCCAACAGAATACGATGGCGCCATGATAAGTTCATCGGGAGGAGGATACGAAGAGTACGGGAAGAGAGGGGGTGTGTGGGATCTCTCACGAACGTCGTCGAATGGGGGAAACAGTAGTTCGTCCTCGTGGTTCATCGGCGGCGTAAATTGCCTCTGGATGAGCTGTCTTTCCGGCGCATTCTTGTGTGATTTGGTTGAAGCAGACTGGGAGCGCTTGGAGGTGGTGCCTTTAGGTTGTGTTGTCTTTTCGGAGCTTGAGTTGCCATCCTCCCCAGCACGTCTTTCAAGATCTTCCAGGCGCCTCTTGAGCTTCTTGCCTGCAAGGTTGGAACATTAGTCACGATGCGAATATTATCCGACACGGCTGAAACACGAGTTGACAGCGAGTGAGACATACGATAGTTGCGTTGCGCGATGCGGTTCTGTATCCGTCGACGCTCGGCAAGGTCAGATATCTTCGTCCAGTCCTCGTCAGGGTTGGCGGAACTGCTGAAAGCACTGCTGGTGCCGTGGCCAGAATATTGCCTTGGCTGCGGAGGGGAGGCCGCGTAGGCATATTGCGATTGCGACATGGCATACATCGGTTCGAGAGCTGGAGGGTATGTATCGATATGAGTTAAGATGACGAGGCAACTCGACGATTGCAAGTGGCGCGCAAGGCTAGCGAAGAGGGCCGAGAATGGGACTGAGTCAGGCTGTGGACAGGTAAGGCGAGGAAGCTGACGATGGGCGGGGGGAGGGGGCCGGAAGTGTTAAATAATGGCTGAGGACAAAACGCGTGCCACAAACGTATGAGGCACAAGGGCGACAAGAAGCACCAGGAGCAGCAATAAGCCATCGCTGCGCGCCGAGAAAGGCAAGTTGGCCTGCTTGGGAGCCTGGCATTGCACATGGGCAAAGTACCTGGGCCCTGTCATGCCATGCCTCGCGGAGGGGCGTGAAGGATCGGAGGTGGGGAGGGGGTGTGTTTGTGATACCGTCGCGTACCTCGTCTCGACTCCTCCGCTCTGCCCTACGAAGAGATGGGTAGCATGTTGACGGGTCGGGAGGGGTCTTGTGGGTGTGACAAGGGGGTGTGGGAAAGAGAGGCAACTGGATACCACAGCATCGAAAAGGCCTAGGCATTGACGCCAGCACACCCCATGTTGGGTCAGTTCTGCAGCCCTTCCTTCCCCAGTCATCGGGGACAGAGTGCCAAATTTACGGAGTGGTCGGCACCGCAGCAACCTCCCAACAGCATGCCTCCCCCACCCACCCTCTCTTGTGGTGATGGAAGTAAGGTAGACACCTCAGGAGGTGGAAGGAGGGCAGGAATGACGGTATGCACAATGATGGGCTGTCACCGCGAAAGCATGCCGACAGGTGCAAGCCAAAGCAGCAGCACTCAAGAGTTGGCCGCTAATCTTGGCTCGAGCCACAGCTCATGCTCACTTCACTGCTGGCCAACACGAACCTCTGGTGGGCAGAGTACGAGTAAAGCGGCGACGAGTGGCTCGAAGGACGGAGCAGGGACATAAACCTCGTCGATCTTGAGGTCGGTAAAAATGGGGGCATGGCTGTGCTGATGCTTTCTTCGTTGAGACAGCGATCCCTCGTAGGGCTGGCCAGTCATAACGTAGTATTCGCGAGTAGGCTTCAGAGACCCTGCAAGCCTGGGATATGGCTGCCTGGCAATCAAGGAATGGGGGGTAAAGGGGAGACGTTGGCCTTGGGGTTAATTATGCGCTTAGTTTGATAGGACCATAATTTAGCCCAAGCTGTGGCTAGGTCGCCCGCAAGTTGATATCTGGGCTGCGCCTGCCTCCTCATCGTCCGATACGCGGATTCCGATGTCAGACTAGGCTGTAACAGGCAACCCTTCCCAAAGAGGCTACTTCGATACTGAGGAGGAGGCCCAAGTACACGCCAGAATCTGTCCCACCTGTCTCTGGACATCCCGAGCGCTTGTCACTTTTCCCCAGAGAAAGGGGACTTTGCTACTCACAGCGATGGCGGTCGTGGGTGGTAGGGTTCAGACGTCTCAGTCGCCTGAATTGGTGGACACAGGTGGACTTGTTGATTTCGAAGAAAATGCTACGATGCACAATATTTCCGCACGTGGCCGGACGCAATACCCTTCGCCTTTTCTCCGTGCATTTCCATCGTTCTTGAGGCAAGTGACGAGATACCCAGGCGTCGTGCGCGAGTTCACGTTACGTGCTGGGAACCTCGTAACTCGAGCCAATGCCCAGAAGGCAGCCAGCCTGATTGATGCCATCACCAATGAGCACGGCCGTCAGTTCGAGTTCATCTACTGTACTCGGTCGTGCCGTACCCACCCTTCCGATTTTTGAGGTCTCCAGCCGGCCGGCCCTTTTCTCGGCTTTTCCCAGAAGTACACCACAGTACAGCGGACTATAGCCTGGGAGCCTTGAATGAATGGCGGACATGGAATGCCTAGTAAGGATCCAGTAGGCCGACTGGAGGAGAGGAGTAGGTCGGTCTGTGCGGTGGGCTGCCGCACGAAAACTGTCAAGCTCAAGTGCGAGGCCACCAATGGTGCTGCCTGTTGAGGCTGCCGGCGGGGTGATGAACCATAGTGGCTCAGTCAAGGGTACTGGGGGAGCTTAGAACCAGACACCCTCAGGCAGGCAACACTGGACATGGTCATCAGTCAGGCAGTACGTAAGCTGCCCATGCAAGCCGTGATGAGCAGGTTGAGCTGTGATCAGCTTGTTGAATCTGCAGTGCCGACTAGCATAGAAAGAGACAGGCCAGACTCGGCGAGCAGAAATCACCAGCTTGGATGCGGGCGCGGCGGGCGCGGGCGCGGCGGATGCAATAGTGATGGGCCACGCCCTTCTGTCTAGCAATCCACGAGGCAACATAAGGGGGGAGTGCTCAAACAAACGCGCCACGGCTCACGCCAGGCGCAGAAGTGGCGAAGCTTCTTGATCCCTCGAGCCCTTCAAGTCGCTCAGGGCGGAGAAGCAGGCCTGACGCCTCTCCTCTCACTGGCTCCTTACCAATTAACCAGGGAGTTTGGCTGCTCCTTCGGGATGTCTAATCAAGTGCTTTGTAACATGCCTATTTTTAATTAGCGACGAGGAAGTCGCTGGGGACGAGTCGATTGGATCTCTAGCCGATGGAGCACGGGCCAAGCGGCCGCTCTCATTTTCGACGAGCTGGACGGGCGCTTTTGCTGGCTCCCTACCTTCCTTGCCCAAGACCGAAGAGTACTTTGGATAGGTACCTGGGTACCTATGGAAGGTGATCAACAAGGTGCCCACGGTTTGCCGGAAGGAATATACCCTGACTGATGACAAGACCAAGTGAGTGGCCAACAAGTGTTTCATGGCTCGACCCCTTGTCGCTCCAAGGGCGTGCCTGCCAGCAGAGCCACTAGTGTTTGCTCGTCTGGCAATCACTGTCCGTCGTGGGCACGGCTTCGCCCCGCACGATTGTTCTAATCTCGGGTTTAGCCATCGCTCTCGCGACGACCACAGTTGGCACAGACGCGGATGATGAAAAGTCACCAAATCACAATATCCTACATAGGAGTTGATGGTATGCTGTGGAACCCAGCACACCTCATCTCTCCGGCGTGAAGACAGTTTGGCAACCTCAGCCCTACACGTAGGTGAACAGTGTGATTGAGAACTATACATACAGTGTACAAGACGTGCTTGATCGATCGTTTCCCAATTGTCATTCGCGCCCGTAAATGCACGTTTGGGCTTAACTCCAAAGAGCAACACTGCCCCTTCGGGATTCTAGCACATGAGCAACCGCTTTCAAGTGAACCAGTTTCGCGGGACGACTCCGTTTTCGACCCTTGCGGTGATTGCCCTTAAGGTTCTGACGCGGCTGAGCCACCCCATGAACAGCAAACATGAGCTCCAGAGTACCGAGGGGCCTCATTCCCAACTTGAGCCGGATGGTCCTCAAGAAGGGCTGGTGGTAGGCATAAGTACGAATCAACGAGTTCTCCTCTGCATTCTCCGGGCCTTACCGGAGTAGGCACATGATCCGATGGAAAGAAAATGACATTGCTGCTGATTGTTCAGCATCTCAGGTCTAGACACTACGACTCTGTGCCCGGACGTCACAACAGCCCAGGCACTCGAGTTCAGGCCCTGGTATTGTGTCGGGAGGCGTATCCACAAGCAAGATCGGGCTCTTTGATTGCGGCGTGAAAGTCAAAACCTGGGACAAATGTAACAGTGCTAATGTACATCTCAATTGTACCATTTCCCATGACGATCAATGCCATCTAACCCCGACCTCGAAGCTACCTCACCCTTGCTACACCAGCCAGCTAGTCAGCTTTTGTGCTCGGTGTGTATGCCTAGAGGAGAATGGCACACGGGCCGGCAGCAGTTGCAGTCGCACTCATCATCGTTGACAAACAGGCTCGGGGCTCGAATAGCTCATCTGTATTGGCACTGTGCACCGTAGGCACGCTACGGCGAAGGATTCCTTTCCATCCGAGCAGCCGTTGCGATCAAACGACCTAGCGGCCGATAGACTGGGATGTGTGGGGTCCCCTCTTGGTGAGAGGAGCACAACCACACCCTCAATTAGAACAAGTGTCGCAAGCCACAGCGAAATGGATTGACTAGATTTGCAGCTGGAACGAGCAGTTAGCGAACTCTCGAGGAAGACAAGTTGTTCCGGCAGCTGCTGGTTTTGCAGTTCGGAGAACCACGCTACCTTTCCGGCCGGCAGGAGCGCGTCAGCTCTTCAACGTTTCTGGGCCTGATTGGCGTTGCTCGAAAATCAAGTGCCATGTGTTTGCCGATTGATAATCATAGTCGGACAGAGGCGAGGGCACGTATCGGCGTGACAAGTGTTGGTACACACGGGAAGTGGTTCTGGAGCATAATGTGTCCGACGGACGCCGGACTGGTCCATCAGTTGTGCCGACCTACTTCACGTCATTGGCTTGCCGACTTGGCTGCCTGCTCAATCGTGGGTCTCGGAAACATATGACATAGTCTTGGTACTAGTTCGATGCACTTCAAGGCAATCACGGTGATGGAGCAACACACGCAGCGACAGGGATCGGCGACGCCGTGCAGCTGATTCATAAGAAGCCCTGGCACGACGTGCTTTGCGTTCTGGACTGGACTGACGAAAGAATTCAGGGGGCGATGCGATCGAGGAGAAAGGAGGAGAGATAAGTCAATGGGGGCCGTCGGTAGGGCTGAACCTGGTATTGCATCTAAGCGCGTATGCTAGTCGCTCATTGGCGGCCTGTGCGACTGTAGACATCTGTAGGCAGTGTGCATGGGTCGCTGCACTCTCACTGGTAGACCACGGAGCCTGCTTCCACCGCCATTTTTTGGTGCGGCGCTGGCCGGCTGGGTGATGAAAAGGCGGAGGCAGAGCCCTGCCGAGTGAGTCTTGGGGCATAGCTAGGATAAGAAGGGGGGTGTGAAGGATTCGGGCAGGGAGCTGATGCAGGCTGAACAGCTGGACAAGAACCCAATCCCGGGTAGGACAAGCGATACCCCAATGTCAACTCTTGCTACAGACACACCTCCGGGCCGCAGCCCCAACCTGCCATTAATTCTCTCATCGTAGGTCCCCAGGGCAAGGCTGTGTGCATCGCCTAGAAAGACATGATCGCTCACAGATCCCCAGCAGTATTCCGTTGCAGGCGTATCAGAAATCTAAGGTTGCATGAGTCGGCCACCGCGACATGTTATCGTTGTCTTCGTACATTCGATTCGTGTAATTTACAAAAGCAGTGATACAACGATGGCCCGTCTCCTAACCACCGTTCGTTCTGCTTCGAGCCTAACACTTCCCGTCCCTTTATTCTCTCCATCACTCGATACAAAGAAAACCAAGACAACAACCAGACGGTAATTATCCTCCGACACCTCAACGCCAAAACCGTGGGTATAATGCTTTTACCACGCCATACTCCTCGCCAAGGCAAAACAAGATACGGCAACAACAAGCTGAATGGTTGTAGAAGTACGCTTCTAAGCCTCAATCCTCTCCCTCACCAGCAAACTTGTCCTGCTTGACAACGTTTGAGAGGGTGAGTTACATCTATGTTGGTAAACCGTAGAGCTAGAGTGCCCTCAGCAGAAGTGGACAGTGCCCACCGTACGCCTTATATACTGTACATGGATTCTAAAGTAAGTCGACTGCATCATAGCCCTACATGACTCGCTGTGTTCGACTCGACAACGTTGTCGGAGAGATTGATAAGTAGCTGGGCTAGACATCTCTTCGTAGCTGCGTCGTCACGAAGAACGTTGGAGAATGTGGCATCACGGAGCGGCTCGGGAAGACACTGCCGCAAAGCCTCGCGCGCCCGGGCATTGTCGCTCAATCTAGCGACGCTGGGTCAGCGAGACACTCTAACGGCAGGTGCCTTGAACTTGATTCAACGTACCGAAGGAAGCATCTAACGACGTGTTTCAGCAAACGAGCTGTCTGCTGCTCAACTAGCTGAGCGACCATGTTGCTGAGAACGGTACCGACTGCGTAGAAGCGTTCGTACGTAGCGCAAATGTAATTTAGCCCACTGTCGTCTAACAGGATCTTCTGAACAATGAAGATGGCCACTGTTTTGCTTAGCTCCGAGCCTGTCTCCATGATACGAAGACAGAGAGGGATTATCTCGGTCGTCAGGAGGAAGTTGATGACCTCGGAGGAATCGTTCTTGACGAGAGCCCCGATTACACCGAGCGAGGTCAGGCGGAGGTACTCAAAAGGCCTGGACTTAGATGTAGTGTTAAGGAAAGGATAGAGAAAAAGAGGAATGTGTGCTGTACGTCTATCCATCAGTATATGCCATACTCACACCTAGGTATTGCCGAGATAAGAATTGCTCACCGCTCAAGAAAAGATTACGAGTATCATTGTGGGAGGCAACACATTGGAGGAGAGCCAAAGCATTGCAAACGCGGTTCGATGCGGCTGCAGTGAGTTGAGACGGATTCAAGAGGGTGTAGACGGAGATGATCTCTTGAAGCAACGATGTCATGACACCTGTGACGAGTAAAGGTCAGGACGCTTGCTCAATGTATCGAGGCGACAAGACCTCCAAGACTTACCGAACGAGTGCCATAGTATCAAGGCCAGTTCCGGAACCTGCTCCCTCTTCTTGCTCAGCTCGAGCAGAGCCGCCTCACGCGTGTTTTCATTCAATAGATCAGCAATGTAGGCCATTGTGCGTCGGTTGTCTTCGGATATGTTTTCGTGCCCCGTATCCTGACCATGTGTACTAGCAAGCGAGGCTACATTGTTGTGAGCACCAGCAAGGCGGTTGTAGTGTTGCTGTTGCGCTGCTGACGCTGCGGCGGCAGCGGTCTGCTGGGCATGTTGGTGATGGCCCGGGGGCTGGTGCATCCAAGAAGCGTCAGCCTGTGGGTTAAATTGGTGGTGACCGTAAACGTGGGGCGTGGGCATCATTTTTGTCACAGTAAGTCTTGCTAACTGGTGATGGGTGGCCAAAGACTGATGTCGGCAATCTTTTAGAAGGCTTTGCGTAGATAGCTGATGGCTGTAATGTTGACCCGCGTATATAATTTGGTTGATCCTGCACTCGAAGAAAGATCACTGGACCATAAGTCAGAATCTCGTTGCTGATGTCGCGTTACGCGTCTCACGTGTCGTTGGCGAGGGATGTGATGATAGCAGCACCCTTAATCTGGTTGACGGGAATGTGGGCAGCCGCGACCTCGAATAGTCACGTTGGGTGCTGTCGGCGGCTTCAGGCGATATTATCGTTCTCTGGGAGAAGTATGGACTCTGGTGTAATCTTCGGGTCGCAGCGAGAGCTATCGACATTCGTCGCAGGCAGACAAGGTTGAATCGTTGGCGAGGCTGCTGGCTGGTGGTTGAGGTTCGAGCGGTGATGGCAGTTGGCGGGCGGAAACCTAAGGCGAAGAGCCTAGGCAATTGTCTCTGACTCTTACGTGACCCTTTGATTGGCTGAAAGTGATCTACCCCAAGGTCGGCCCAGAAAACATCAAGGGCCTGAAGTATGGGGGTTCAGTTGTTATTGTATTAACCGAATATCTAATAATAGTGGTCATCAGCTAGAATTCGGCGTAGAGGCTCATCGACTACTGCATAGCCCCGTTGGGCTGCAAGTCCATCGTCAATCTCCCAGGCCCAGGCGTAATGTCAGTCGTTACCTTACTAATCAGGCGAGTCGCACGTAGACGCTACGGGTGACGGAGGCGCCGCCCGCCAGGCGCCACTCTTGAGTGACCCTTATTATGGTGGACTTTGGCCGAAGAATGTTTGCTTCCTATGAAGATGAGTCAGGTGCGAATATCTTGAACGCCCCAAAGCTATCATGATCAGGAATAACAAAGAGTACGGTGTATGAGATCTTGTATATTGCGGGCTCAACACAATTTCATCCCGGGGTTTTTTTTCTTTCTCAATATTTACTGTGCTTAATTTCCGCTCTTTTACGTACTGACGGCAAAACGGCCGCCAAATGCCAGGGTCATAATTGTTAACTATTCGATACATTCACGTGTTTTATACACACTTACATACTTGTGTTTCGACTTCGATAATCCACACAAGAGGGGGACGGGAGAAAAAAAGGGGTGGCACGAAAATCCAGTTGATCCGGATAGACCTTCCATGATCGATAGACTAGCAGTCATGTCGGGGACCTCAAATATCCAGACTTATTATGTATGCTGCTATGCTGCTATCAACATCGGTACAAAAACGCGCGCTATGGTGGACGATAATAACACGGAAGAAAACGAGGGAACGAATTGACCAGTCCTCACAAGTCCCATACGAAAACTACATCTAACCTTTCCGCCCACTTCGCCCCGCCCCCTCCCCCCATCACCAGCCGTGTCCTGCCAGCAAGCCCGAGACAGGCTAGAGACGGAGCTCTCTCAGTATCTGGTCTGCCATGTTCTTGTATTGCCAGGTATTGCCGACCAGACGCTTAAATTGTATGCCGTGGAGCGACAGAAGGGGGACTTTGACGATGAAGATCTCGAACTCAAGGACCATGTCACCTCCGAGATCACTCTGTACTTGTGTGCTTGTCTCGCCTGGAGCCCGTCTAGATGAGCTAGGAAGCTCTCTTGACACGCTGTCTTCAGAAACGTCAGAGTTTGAATAACTGTGATCGCCGGCTCTGCCAGCAGTCCTGGGTGTTGCCGGCGCATCTCGAGAATCATCGCGCTCTCGATCGGCATTCGCGATCATGCCGCCGAAACTGAATCGCCTTCGATGACCTGGTGTCTGTGCGGCAGGACTACCTGGGGGGTCCTGCACCTTCTTAAGATCAATGCTTGGAGTGTGTCGACAGGCAAAGCCGCCCTTAATCTCAGTATAGTCCACACCAAGTCCCCTCAGGACCCTTCTGATGTCGGTACGGATCTCAGGAACAGACTTGCCCGATGTTGTCGACACGCTGAAAAGACCTTTGAGAAACACTGGCTTGGCAAGGTCAGAGCTGTCCAGCCTCTCAGTGGACACACCGCTGTGGTCCCCAGCCTCCTGATCCGTCTCCTCCGGAACATTTGCTTCACGGGCCTCTTCCCTTCGAAGACGCCGTTGTTGGATGCTCTCGCGCCTAGCATGGCCCAACGATTTTGCCCTCAGAGATATGGATCGCGATTGCCCGACAAATCTCTGCTCCGACCGCGGTTTGTCGTCGGTAGCAGATCTGTCTGATCCGCTAGTAGGTGGCGGTTCCTTTGAGCCGCGGCTTGAGTCACGGCGTCGGAGATCAGCCGAGTTGACGCTAGTAGATCTACCCAAGCCTTTGCGTCGGGAGCCGAAATGCCCTCCGGCGGAAGGTGGAGGACTGAGGAGGTCTTTGTGCTGTGGCTGGCTGTCATCAGAGCGGAGACCAGAGTCGCTGGGATCATCATGATCCCTCCGACTCCTTCGTATGCTGAAGCTCTTGCGAGGGGCTGATGGCGCCTCTGAAGGCGAGCGGACTTGAACAACAGGAGGATGCGACCGGTCTTTGTCCAGCCGCTCTGGTTCCCGACGTCTTCGAGTGCTGAACCGTCTCAAAATGCCTGCCGCGGTGCTCTCCTTCTTGGGCGGTCCATCAGAGTAATGCTCGCTAGGCTGAGCAATGGCTGGCGACAGTTGCGAGCGTGCCAAGGCTTCCGGTGCGTCGTCTTCCCCGTGAGTTCGTGCGCGAGGGCGGGACCGTCCACCAGTCGCTCTCTCACCAGGCATTTCGTATGCAGCCGTATTGGTGTGGGCTGCTTGGGGCGGTGTTATTTGCGGCGGGCTGGGGTCTTTTGCAGATTCTTTGTCCTTACCCTCCTTCTGTTGGAGGGGTGTTTGCGCTGGCTGGCTGACCTGCCCAGGGTGGAGCTCGATACGATCGCGCTCTTGTTTTTCTCGTACCAGGTAGTAGATCGATATCAGTGGGCTAAATGCATTGAGGGGGTCACTGCCTAGCTGAAGGCCCTCAGAGCTTGGGGCAGTGAGCGTGTCCCGACTCGTGCCTGAGTTGCGCCTTTTGTAGAAATCGAAACCGAACCCCCGCCTCTTCTCTACGTCCCTTGTAGGCTGGGGAAGATCCTTCTCTCGCTGGTATGTCCGTACTGCTCGCTGATATTCCTCAGACTCAATGGTCCGGGTGAGCTGAGCCTTGATGTTGTCGGGCGACCCAAAATTGAAACCCGTCATTGCAGTGATGACCTCAGGCTCTAGAGGTAGCGTCAGAGGTTCCCGCAAAGGTAGGTAGTTATCCGGCGGACTTCCATAACCTTTAAGCATCCAGGGATGGCTCATGACTTCAGGCATAGCCGCACGCTGTTTTGGGTCGGTCACAAGCATACGTGACAAAAGGTGCTTACAATCTGCATGGGAAGGTCTGGATCAGCACAACCTTGTGTGGTTATAGTTAGGGCAATTGCGCAGGCTCACCGCTAGATAACCAGTTTGGGTAATCTACAAGTCCTTTCTTGATCTTTGCATGGAGCGCAGGCATACTCTGGTCGTCGAAGGGGACTTTACCACAAACCAGGACGTAAAGGACGATACCGAAACTCCAGACATCCACCTCGGGACCGGTGTAGGCCCGAGCCTGGAGTAGCTCTGGGGCGGCGAAGTACAGGCTGCCACAAAATGTCTTGAGGTGGCCCCTGGGGGCAAATAAGTTGCTCAGGCCGAAGTCGATAATCTTGATGTCACCATTCTTGCTTATCAAAATGTTCTCGATTTTGAGGTCACGGTGGACGATGCTGTTCCGATGGCAATAATCGAGGGCACTGGCGATCTGCCGACTGAACTTGCGTGCTTGCTTTTCTTTGAGCTTGCCATGGGATATGATATAGTCGAGCATCTGGCCACCGTTGACGTACTCGAACAGCATGTACCAGTGGTAGTTGGTTCGAACTACGTCACGCATGCCACAGACATGTGGGTGGTTCAGTAGTGTGACAATGGCCGCTTCTCTGGCTGTACGGATCTCTTTCGATTGGTCTGCGCGTTCTTTGTCTGCACGGCTGTGGTGGCCGTCTTCCGTTGATCCACGAGGAATGATCTTGCAAGCTACCTGCATATTCATCATGATTAGTATCTGTCTGATCCTCGTGAACAGAAGGGATAGCGGAGTGTGTTGCGGCGGACGCACCTGTTCAGGACCATCTTCCTTGCGAGCCAACTTGACTTTGCCCATGCTACCGGCCCCGATGGTTTTACCTAGGATCCATTTGCCTGATGATGTCGGGATGGTCGTTCGACCTCTTCCTTGCTTTGTAGTTGAGGAACTAGGCCCTCTGGAGTCAGAGACAGGCGTGGGGCCACCCGAGTTAGCGATAGTGCTATTGGCAGCCATGTCGTGCTGAATCTGACGTCGATTGTTGGTTATGGATTTGGTGCTACTTCGGCGCTGAGGGCGGGTGTGGTCTACTCGAGGGGCAGAAGGCGTCTGTTCGCTGTCTCTGTCTCTTTCCTTGTCTCTGGCTGAGCTCCGCTTGGAATATGTGGCTACGTTTGTTGTTTCCCGATCATACTCATGGTGAGCAAGGACGTCTTGAATTGGGCGCGTTGCTGAAGGTTGTCGAGAATGAGATTGTGAGCTGGGATGACGCTGGTGGCGGCTGGTTATCGAAGTCGAAGTCGAAGCAGCTCGTTGCAAAGGCTGCCCGCTTGTAGTAGGGACGACAGGAGGCTGGCGGGAGCGAGTGGAGTACGAGCGCGATGCCTGGTGTTGACTCTTTTGAGGGGGCAGCTGTGCAAAGTGTTCCGCGTTGGTCGTGTGGGATGATTCAAATGTCATGGCGGAGAGATTGCGTCGGCAATGCAAGAGAGCGCGATATCAATCAGATCTCGAGGGAGACACCAGACATGCAGTGAAAGAGGGCAACAGAGGCAGAATGGAGAAGGGGTAGACAGGTTGTCGTAACACACTACCTGCCACTGCCTGCTTTACTCGCGCGTGTGGCTGGGGGTACGGGCTGGCAAAGATAGCGCGCCCCACCAAGGTACTAATACAATACCTCTAAAGAAAAAGACACCTCCACATCCTGCCACCCTTTGTGGATGGATCTAGCGGGGTCTTTCCATCAGGTTTAGATTGGAAAGGCACAGGTCCATACTATTGCTACTTACTCCGCAGCGGATTTATGACAAGGACGACGGGAGCATAAACAGAACTAAGATTCTCGTCGGATCAAATTCGAATAATGAACCTGGAAGATGTCATCTATAAGCCAGGCCTACCCATTCACCTTGGTTGCTGCACAGCTAGGAGCCTGCTGTACGCTAAAACGACACACCAAAGATATCATTAAACACCTCGATTGGAGAGGGAAGCCGCGGTGGTTTTTTTTCCAGGGATTTCGCCGGCTCCTGTTGTGTCTTTAGAAACTGCGCCGCGTTCAGACGCTGGCAATTTACAAAGAACACAACTTCCCTCGCTCAACACTCGAGACTGGGCTTCAGAGGGAGAGAGGGGAAAGGGGGCAGACAGGTTGGGAAATTGCGATGCCGAATATGTGGCTTATGTAATATGGGGGCCAACCCCCTGGCCTGCTTGGCAAGAACCAGAAACTCCAGTCCAGAGTAATAAGGATGCCAAAATGTCATACGGCTGGTGTAGCATCTCTTTTTCCATGATCCTGTACCACATTTACACCTTGGGTACTACAGTCACGGGATGGTTACATGCCCAGGCAGCGGGTACTGCTGACGGAGTTCAGGTATCCATTGAGTGCCTTCCCTGTGCCTAGGTCTAAAGGCCTACATGTACATGTACATTAGAGAGGTGCTGACTAGACCCATTCAAGGTAGCCCCATCCACCACCATCAAGCAGCCCCCAACCGTATGCTTATCGATAAACTAGTTACCTCCAAGCCTTCAACCTCATTGATTCGTATCGATCGCAACACTAGGCACATCGGTCTCCGAGCTGTGTACTCCCGGCATTTTCATCGTTTGCAACGAATCCAACACACAGCGGGCTTCCGTTTTCTCCATGTCACACAAAAGATCTCGCACGACATACGAAGCAGACCTTCCTGCCGAGGGTTCTCTCTTCGTTCTAATTGGCACGCGTCTACCTCCACCTAACGACTATTCACCCGACAATGGCTCGTATACTCCTCTTCATAAACAGGAGGTGAGAGATGAGCAAGGCCGACGGCGACTGCACGGCGCATTCACCGGAGGCTGGAGTGCAGGATACTACAATACAGTCGGATCTAAGGAAGGGTGGACCCCTGGAACATTTGTCTCGAGTCGAAATGCTCGCCACAAAGATACTGCTGGAGCCCAGCCACAACGACCGGAGGACTACATGGACGATGAGGACCGTGAAGCAGCCCTAGAAGACGAGAAAATACAATTGTCCGAAGCGTTCACTGCCGGCGCAGTGGGGGAAAATACAAGAGCTTTTGGCAGAGGACTGTCGGATCTAATATCTCATGGGGACGCTTCATTAGGCCTCGGCTTGCTGATGAAGATGGGGTGGAGGGAAGGCCAAGGCATCGGACCTAAGGTGCGTCGCCCAGCACGACTGCACGATACCGAAGCCATCAGTACGCACGTGCCAGAATCGCACCTGTTTGCGCCTGATGACGTTGCCGTCTTGAGTGTGATCCGTAAGATCGACCACCACGGCCTCGGATATTCAGCCATGTGCGCTCACTACACGCAAGAGCCCGCTGGCTTTACTCGCCGAACAAGTGAGGCAGATGTGCTCAACACCCACGGTTCTGGGATGAAGGAGTCAAGCCGCTCCCTGATGGGTGGCAGGTCTAAGGACACAAAAGGCCATGGTGGTGGCATGGGGTTCGGCATCCTCAACGATACCGGTTCTGACGATGACGATGGGTACCAGATGGCACCTAGGATTTCTCGAATTAGGACTCTGACGGGCTCGAAGAAGAGGAAGAAGAAGAAGTTGCCGTCAGGTACAGTCTTGGCAAACCCGGCCCTTGGCTCTAAGCCAGCATTCAAGTCACAATCGATAATACTCAAGCAAAGGGATGGCCGACTTTGCCGAGATGGTTCATCACCACTCCCAGGGTTTGTGCTGGGTAACATAACAGTTTCTTCCGAATCCTTTGGTTCTTCCGGTACAGTCTCTGATCCCCCAAATGTTCCCCAAGGATGGAGATCATCTAAGCACCAGTCAAGTGAGGCAGGTGAGGCTCCAGCTGGCATGCTTAACGTACTTTCAAGTGCAGGGAGCTCAACTGTCCAAGACCCCCGGTCTCGTGCGCTTGCTCTAGGGGAGGTTCCGTTACCAGGGAAGTCGATATTCGATTTCCTGTCTACCGCAGCCCGCGAGCGCCTTGTGGCAGCCTCGGGTCGGACAAATCTACCACCCGCTGGTGGCGAAGCCGTACTGGCTCAAAGCAGCAAGGACTGTCACGAAGACTCTAACACGCGTCAGAGGCTTCCAGTGTTAGATAAGGAGACGGCCGTCATCGCCATCGAAAGGGGCAAAGGTGCTCGGGGCCCATATGCGGATGACGAAGAAAAACAGTCACGATACAGAGCTTACCTAGCACATTCTGCGGGCTTGATCTCTGATCATCCAGCGAAGCCTAACTCGCTGGGCTGGAGAGAGTTCGCCCAAGAGCAACAGGAGTTCTACGGATGTGCCCAATTATTCAGACCCATGACAGGCATCATGGCAACACGATTTACAACATCTACTCTGAACCATGTGTCGTCCGATCCCAAGAATACGGTCGAATCTAGCAGACGGTCACCGTTACCCAACGAATCTCAACCGCTGGATGGTGCAGAACAAGCAGCTCGGTTGGGGCTCTATGGGCAGTTGACAAGATCGGGGCAGGATTTCTTCCCTACCAGACTTCTTTGCAAAAGGTTCAACGTGCCATTTCGAGACCCCAGTCTTGTCAGTCTCGAACCGTTCCAGGCTCGACCTACTGTCACCCTGTCATCTCTAAACACAGGGCATTTTCTAGATGATCGCAAAGAGGAACCACTGAGCAATGAGGACATTGACAGACTCTTATCAACGAGACCTTCTGAAGCTATCGGCAACTATGGGTCTTTACTTCAGGAACCCAAGACCGCGGCAGCGGCAGGCCTGAACAGCGATGGTACGACGCAGAAGAAACCGGACGAAGACGTTTTCAAAGCCATATTTGGCGACGACAGTGATCGTGACTAAACAGGACTTGAATATTTGGCAATATTAGAAAATTACATACGTCTATGTGAATTTACGAGTGATACGATTCCCGCCTCCGTGACGCTTGAGGTCGCAATTCTGTGTCTGGAATAGCTTCACGGCACTGCGACAGCTTATTAGTCTTTGACATCTTTGTTTGTCTGTCTTCGTAGCAAACTGGGTGGGACATCAGAAGTTAGGGACTGGTGGGGTAGACAGGGGGGTTAAATGAGGAGGCACGTTAGGCGGTATTATTTAGCCGCCGGCCGGGGTTGGGCGGTGAATGTCGGCCACTTGTGGACGCCTAGTCTATTACGGTTGTTGCCCATCCACCTGAGTGCCTGCAACAAAGACGCTAACTGTGCCGAAGTACGCCTGCTCTCTCTCGTGTCCTCCCATCCGCTATCGTCGAGAATCCGCCTTCCATCCTCGCCCATCAACCACTCGGCTTTCCTGTCGGAAACACATAAACGCTGGCTCGACGCCCCAGAACTGTATGATCGTCGACATCGTTCTAATATGTGCGACCACCCACACCCCTAAATCTGAATGACACGCAACTTGACCACCAGCTAACTCTATGGCAGCTGATTCGGCGCAAAGGAGTCGTCGGCTCTCGACACAAGAAGTGCTCCCATCCGTTCAAGCTGAAGTCGTTCTGCAATCCCGCTACACATAGTCAACGTTTATCTGGCTGCTAATAGCCCTCCTGACAACGTTTCTCGAAGCCCCAGATATACAGAGTGGACGGCCCCTCCCTCTCCATCCAAGCATCATAATCGAGCCCATCGAAGATCTGGATTCTTTCAAGTCGCAACCAGTCAACCGGACAAGCTCCCCGCCTCCCCAGTATCTGGTGCCTGTGGCGTCTTCCTCCTCCTCCAGGCCGCCCTTTTTTTCGCCCATTTACGCCTGTCGTGAAACCGACAACTTACGGACGGACACTGTAGACTTCTCGAGTCATCCTACAGAAACATCTCTCGCTGAAGTTTTCTCGACAGCTCCGGCCTACGTGTCTACAGGGTTGCATTCGACAGACCATCAAATCGACCGGCTCTCCCACGAAGCACCTGCAGAGACAACCAAGCGAGCGCTTCATCTACCTGATACACCACGGGACGTCTGCTCGAAGTACGACGAAAACGAACCGCCACCCGCTTACTCGGAGGGACCCAGTCCCCTCTCGTCTTTCACATTCGTGATGGCGACTGCCGGGGGTGCATCGAGTATTATTACGCAGGTGCAGCAGGGCGGGCCGCCCGTCAACGCTATCGGAGGTGAGCTTTGAACAGATAAGCCGTAACCGTCTATAATATTACTAATCCATTCAAGATGTTGGTGCGGACGAGACTATCACGATGGATCTCCGGTACGCTTTCTTTTCTCCCGTTGCGCGCCATCGACCCGTGACTGATCAATCAATTAGAGGCACAAGATTCGTATTATCGCGAGATGAGCTTCTGACTTTGCCAGAGTTTGTTCTACTATCCTTGTTCCCCAACGGACTGTTCCCAGAAGGGCAAATGGGTGGGTTTGCAGATGGAGATGCTGTCCAGGTTGATGTACGTGTAGCCTACCCGACTGGGGCACGACCTGTCTAAGCTTGCCACTTGAGTATGCACGAGTGTAAAGAGCTGACATGATGGCTTAGTATGATCCTGTATCGCTGCAGTACATGCTGGACTTCTTTCGCAACGTGGCCCAATCAATTCCCATGGAATCGTCGCCCAATGCTTCGCAAGATGGCGACGCCGTGCCTCTTGAGCCATTGGGATCCCGAGACGACGCTTCTCGGCGGGCTGGAATCATAGTCTTGCGAGAAGACCTCGACTTCTATGTCATTCCTCCTCGTCCGGATGTCGGGCAACTTGAGATGATCGAGATCAAAAGAGCCGCTGCCAAGGCGTTACTGAGTCAAGGGGGTATCTTCTCTGGGCTGAAGCGGAGTGATGAGCCGGGTACGACCGAGGCACACCTTATTGAGATGCTGACAGCTGGGTACGTTCACCACGCGACGGCTTGTTGCATGGTTCTTGCTGACAGGAGAGCAGCGGGTTTAACCATGATGATTCATGGGGTCACCGGGCGGGAGAGCCCAACAAGGCGGTGGTGTGCAGCCTTGCTCTGGCACGCCTGCGTAGTGATATCAGAGGTAGTGAGATGGGCAGCAACGCGGTTGGTATGGCTCAGAAACTCCTCCTCTTCTGGCGGAAACCTGCTAGGAGGTGCTGGTGGGAAGGTGTTGAGCTTGAGGATGTTGAGGGTGTCGAGGGAAAGCTCAAGGTGTGGATCAGGCGTGTCTGGACCCTCGAAATGAGTGTTATTGGCCTTCGTTGAACCACGATAGACAGGGGCTGCCAATCGTGGTCCGTCTCAGTTGTTTTTTTGTTGCTAGCGATAAGCTTTCAGTTGGACAGGTGAGAGAGGGCGGTGGGAGGTTTCGGTATGGACGAGGAAAGACGATCGTCGATAATGTATCTACAAATGTCCGTGGCTGTATTGCACCTGCTGCACTACAATGCCGTGTGGGTAAGGCGCAAGCGGCGTCTACGAGCACCATGATTGCTATTCTTGAATCATCACGTCCTGATAATTGGCATGTTTCTCGGCGTGACAGGCCTATGGCTAAGCACACAGTGTCGGCTGTAGGGTAATTGGCATGCACATAGGAGACCGACCATGCCGCCATGTGCTTTCTTGGTGTGTGTGCGAATGGTTGGTGAACCAAGGCTCGAGTTGGTATGAGGCAAGACCAAGCAGCAAAGGTGGGTTCTGCATTCGGACTAGGGTCTGGTGGCTGGTAGAGCATCCTCGAGGTAGAGCAATATCTTGTGATGACGATTACAGTCACCCGCTTCAAGTATTACTCAGGTACATAGTAATTGTCCCTATATTTTCCGTTTACACCTCTGGGTCCTTCAGTGTCACACATTTAACATTTGTTGACCCCCGATAAGCTCACAGGATTTCGCTCTGCTAGAATGAGATTCGCTTTGCTGCCTGTTTACCTTGCTGTCGAAACTTTTGTGTCACAGGCAGTGTACGCCTGGAGCTGCAGCAATGGTCTTGCAACCGCGCGGAGTCGGCCCGTCGTTGCGGATGGCTGGTCCTTTGGTCTCGTGGCCAGCGAGCTGTCCAGGCCGCGAAGCATCTTGTTCGATAGCAACGGCGCACTTCTCGTCGTTGACTCTGGCGTTGGTATCAAACGGCTACTACTCGAGGACGAGGGTGGCACATGCATATATGTAAAGAACGGGAGCGTAATCGTGGAGTCTCCTGAGGTCAGTCAAGTCAACCCTTGTGGCACTATGCTCGATTGACATGCGCGTGGCCGCCGTTGTCCAGCTCAACCACGGCATCGCATTGTCCAATGATGGACGAACACTATATGCCTCGACACCAGACAAGGTATTTGCATGGATCTACGATGCCGCTAATGGCAAAGTTAGCGTAAACAACAAGACTGTTGTTAAGGACATGTACAATGCTGGACATACCTCTCGAACACTTCTCATGTCCGACAAGGCCCCAGGCTTGCTCGTCGTGTCGCGGGGATCTGAAGGCAATGTGGATTCCATGGCCCTCGGTCGGGCATCTGGTCACTCGCAGCTTCGTGTTTTCAATGTCACTAGCATTGCTGCTGACGGGGAAGCTTTCAGTTTCTCCCGCGACGGAAAAATATTAGGATGGGGACTTCGCAACTCAGTTGGCGTAGTCGAGCATCCTAACGATGGGGGAATTTGGTCGGTGGAGAACTCCGTGGACAACCTGGAGCGTGATGGTGTTGATATACACTCCAACAACCCTGGAGAGGAGCTAAATTTTCATGGCTTCCTCAGTAGCTCGACTTATGGACAAGAGGCCAACTACGGTTACCCCAGATGTCTAGCCCTCTGGTCGACGGATGGCTTCCCAAGGCTTGGTAACATGAGCACCGGAGACCAATTTGAAGTCTCCAACGACCGCGCAAATGATACATCAGGTTGCAGTACTCAGTACACGGCACCAAGACTGACCTTCCAGGCACACTCGGCACCTCTCGACATCGTGTTCACGCCAGATGGATCGGAGGCTTTTGTCACGTTTCACGGCAGCTGTATGGCCTAAGAAAATGGCATGATTGAATGGCCTGCTAACCTACCTATTAGGGAACCGCGAAAAAGCGGTCGGCTACGCTGTTTCTAGTATTGCTTTCGACGAAGGCTCTCCCAAAGAGCTAGCGAATAACACGGATGCCGTCTATAATGTCATGTACAATGCAGACCTTGACGACTGCCCCAGCCAGTGTTTTCGACCCGTCGGTCTGGCCTGGGACAGAATGGACAGATTATTCATGACATCTGACTCAACAGGCGAAATATTTGTGCTCGAACGAACCGTGGGATCGACAACAGAGGATGTCCCCAGTCATACTGCACGCCCATCGTTGGCAGTAATACCGGCCGTTGACTGGTCATTCCTGTTGGTAGGGGTATTTTTGATGACTCTACGAAATACATGAAGAAACAGGGCGAGATGACCTGGCCTCTCATGCCACCTAAACGCCCCCTTCCCCAGGTTCGCAGAAAAGGCGGCTGTCATCCGGAACCACACAGGTCTGGATCACGTACTGGCATACAATAAACCCTATTACTTTCGTCACCGCAATACGATCTGCCTTGGCGAAGTGATGCAGGTCAAATCGAGCGTGTAGCTATACCTTGCTCTATTTCTGTGTGTTTCATAAGCTACTCTTCAATGCTCTTCACGCATTCCCACTCGCCCCTCAGATTCTCCTTCCAAAGGGTCACCTTGTTATCGCCTCCGCTCACTGCCAAGACATTTCCACTCAGCGACCAGCTCACTCGCCACACAGCTGAGTCGAAGCTGAGAACTTTACAGGCCCACTGGCCTTGGGCAGAGGAGTCGGACGTCCAGATACGGACTGTTTTATCCTGCGAAGCTGATGCAATGTATGACTTTTGGAGCACAGTCGGAGACCAGGCAACGTCGCGCACCCAGTCCGTGTGGCCCTGCAGAGCATCGCCCTCCGGCTTGTATGCCTGGGATGTCGAGTCGAAGGACCAAATCTTGACGAGGTTGTCGCAACCTCCAGTGGCAAATCGTCGAGCGCCCGTCGACCCGGGTCCGGGAGAACTGCCCACAATGCTCCCCGGTGCCGTAGCTGGGGCCCACGAGACAGAGTTGACGCCAAGCCCATGTGCCTGAAAGGTGATATGGTCGTAATTGTTGTCTCTGAACTCGAGAACACTGACATTGCCATCGGACGAGGCGCATGCCAGCAGGCAGCCCGACTCGTGTGGTGACCAGGATACAATGTTCACCGACGCCTTGTGCAAGGCAAAATCGAATATCTTCTGCCAACCCGCCTGTTCCCTCCATACGAGCACCTTGCCATCATATCCTGCCGATGCTAGAATGTTGCCGTACTTGGGATGCGCCCATGCGACGCACCATACTGCTCCCTCGTGTCTGCGGCATCCATTGTTAGCACGAGATACGTAGCTCCCGACTGTTGTCTAGGCCATGGGTGGAAGTGGGATGTTAACACACCCCTTAAGCGTTTCAACGAGACGTTGAGTTTCGCCCTCGAGCTCAAAGATCTTGATTGTACGATCGCTGGAACAGGTTGCGAGCCGGCGCCCGTAGTAGTCGAGAACAGCATCATGCTTGAAGTCAAAGCCCGGATTAGTTCAAGCAAACTAGGCCGTGCAACAACCCTCCAAACCTCTCACAGGTATGAGACCGCAACGTCAACTTACAATCATGTCGTCGTGACCCGAGTTTGCGATGGTATGACTGGTAGCCTGGACCTCCCCTGTCAGCTGCTGCTTATGCTGGTAACAGGTCTATTTCAAGTTCTAATTCACCATGATTAAGGAAGGCGCGAACTTGGCGTCCCGTGTGCGTGCCACTTAGGGGCTCGGAGTTATTGATACACTGCCGATATGAGTTACAACGTTGATATGGTAGAAGCCCTCGGGTTGAAGACTGGTGGGTGTGGAATGCGAAAGCTTGAACACTTGGTTGACGAATAGACAGCTATCCAAAGCAGCCAGCATGTTCGAAGGAAATTGGCAGCAAGGGAGGCCTTACAGCCTACCTTACCGTCTGTTTTCAACGCCTGTGCACTACGGTGTAAGGGAAGCGCCACACAGCTATTCTATTCATTGAATTGTCTTACTCCAGTCTTATCAACGGGGACTACCCCTGCCAAAATAGAGACCCCACATTTCGTGTCTCTTGAAGTTGGACCTAAGCCGAGCCACCGAAGCGGCGTCACCATTTGCCGAGGCAGACGCTCATCACGAGATAGACGTCACGGCAACTGTAGGATAGTCGATTTACAAGGCCCCAACATAGACCAGAAATAACCACGCATTTGTACGAGCCGTCGCCTAAACAACACATGCACGGCTGACTTGTTTTCGACGTGCAGAAATTCAGCAATTCCACCGTCATTCGTCACACAGGCTTGTTGACACAAGACTTGCAACCTGACATTGGTATCATTCACGACCTTGTTGAAAAGGCTACATCATCAAACTTCACGTTTCTTTTCAAATCCGATGGCAGACAATGTCTGCGGCGGGTCGACCCCGCTCAAGGCGCTTGCGGAGCAAGGTGCTCGTGATCGAAGCCTGCAACAAGATCGCGCGCGTCGCGCTGTTCCTAGCCCCTCCGTAGGTCACTTCTTTGGGTGCGCTTCGTCATACACAACTAACAAGTTTGGGACAGAACTTCCGATCCAACCAGCTAGGCATGTCGCGGGACCCAAGTCAGTCGTATAGCACATACCTCGGCAACCCCAATCAACAACTTCCAGCGCCGCATACAGCAGAATATAGCGGACATCATGTTACAGTGCGTCCTAATGCTTTCGGAGCTCGACCTCAAGAAACTGTTCACTCGTCCCAGCCTCCTCAAACAACCAATTGGGCGCAGGACTTTGACAATTTCAGGCGGGAAATGGTTGTTCCTTCTCAAAGTAGCATGACAACACCTCCTTCGATTCAACATATTCAACATCATCAACATGGGCAAAACTTCTCTCCTGTGCTATCAAACCAAGCGGTTATCGCTCGACAGACACCAGTTTCGATGTCTGGGATGATGCCCTTGAGTGTTTATCGCAACCAACATACACCTTTGGAAAAAGGTCGAGATACCGAGTTCGACACGGCAATGCGACACTGGGTCACTTCGAATGGTGACCTTGGTGCTGGGGTTGAGGAACAAGTCGACGCAGTGATGGACAAGCTCGCGCGTGAGCTGGAAGATATCGAATGTGCAGAAGGTCAAAGGCAGTCACATCAGGCGCGATCAGCAAATGGTCAGGATGATTTGCTTGTCGGAATATCACACCGCGATGCACTGGTAAACAATGCCGTCCTTGGCAGTTTGGGCCCCGAACTTGACGTTGCCAGCCTCCATTTAGCGGATGACACGCAGAATATGAATTCGATGGAAGAAGTCAGCCACCACGACCGGGCTGCTGAAACACCCGATGCTTTACCAATCATGTCGGATGTCTCGGAAGCAGCACGGCAGCTACTACAGACTGTCCAACATGAACAAGGTGACAAGTGGAAGCAATCGCAGTTTTTACTACTAATGAAGGACTTCCGCGATGGACAAAAGGACATCATCGATAATGAGATCCGGCAGGCAAATACATAGAAATGAATCCCGGTCCATGACCATAATTAGGCCCGTAAACGTTCCAATCTGTTGCGTGGACGATCACTTGTCCCCCGGAGACTCTTGTACTTGACATGCTACTTAGTCTTTAGTTTCTGCCAGTCTTTGCCATCTGTCGCATAAAATCTTGGAGCTACGTTTCAAACCAGTCAAGAGCCCTTTCCCTTAGCTTGGCGGCATTGCCAGCCTAGATCCTCTCGCCAGGAGTGCCGTGCCAAACGCAACGTTTGTATTCGTGGCCAAAAAAAACCGAGAAAGAAGGCAGCGGAGACGGATAGTCGCAGCGTTGCGTTACCATAGCTAATTCCTCCAAATATGGCCTCATAAGAGAACCACGGCCTGCCTTAATGCTCTGATATACATCTAAGCTGTTACCAGCTCAGTACATGATAGAGGGCGGGCACGTCTGCGAAACATAGGTAACATGTATATGTGTGTCCAGATGTATAGTTCGCTATATCACTGAATTCAATAAGCGATATGTATTTTCGGCTATCGATCATACGAAGTGCTGAGGTGAAATTTGGACACTACAGTGGTGCTGACTAACTTCACAATCTTAGACCTTAGTTCCAGCAGTGCAGCGCACCAAGGTGGTCGACCAAAAGAAAGAAGGAAAAAGGCCTACCGATTGAGGGAGCACCCTGGTTTACCAGTCCCAAGCCTCGCTACCAGGCAGTAAGCCTACTGTAGAGCCTTTGGTGAGCCATTCTTTCTGTCGAGTGTTTGAGCATACCCAATCCACTTTCGTACACAGGGGACTGGTTTCGCGCTAGCAACTGTGAGTCACACCTAGCACTGCTGAGATTGGACAGCTTTGGGCTGGCGTACACATACTGCGGAGAAGGGTGGGTCTGTCAAGCAATACAGATTTGATCGAAAAGCACAGTACTCGTCCGAACATCTAAGGCGCAAAGGTACTTGTTCGACAACTCGGAAATGTAAACTTTAACAGCCCTGGTCGATGGGTGGGTAGTCAAGACCCACTTAAGTCTGCGCCCTTCGGACGAGGCCTGCCCGCCCTCTCCACTGTCACAGTCTCTCTGCTGCCTGGGGAAAATTACAAAAACTGCCGCAGCCCACTCGGCCATCCAAAAATGATTCTCCTGCCTCAGCACAATCACATCACATCACTCACAGAAAAAGATATCAGGATAAACACCATCACCATGCGGTAAACCACCACCACCAGCAGGTCTTCCACAGCCCTCCTTTCCAACTTCAAACCCTTCAGCTCTACCTTCACAGGTTGATCTGAACTTTACAGCAACTTCACGCTCTAAGAGTTCTCTCTTCTCCGTCAACACTTCTACACTGGATATTCCAGTCACCACGGACTCACCAACACCATGGCTTCCCTCCAGTTCCCCCAGCCTGCCGGCATTATCCGCGCATCAAACACCCTGTCACTCTCTGCAACAGGACTTTGTCTTGTTCGACCAGCCTACACATCCCAACAACCTGCCTAAACGTGCATTGCACAACCTGCCAGGTTTACGCTTATCAAATCGCCGCCACTCGTCTCATCAATACCTCCAGTCAGAATTCACCAACATATCAATTCAATCGAAATCGCAATCATCTGCTGCTGGAAACGGATACTTAAACTTGAATCCCTCCAATCGTCCCTCCTCTGTCAACATAACCAGATCAACACGTGGGCCGAATCAAAATACATCTGGAAGCTCACGTCACACATCGCGACCAGTTCGCCCACCAGTCCCGCTATTTGCAGAGAGCACTTCCGGTATTACGCAACCTGATTCTGCGAACATGAACATCGCGGGTGAGTGCCCAAAAGGCGGATTGATCCAGTCATACATCAGCTCACAAACGCCTGTAGACTTCGAGGAATTTACAGGGTTCGAGGGTGGGGCATCCACGGCCTACTCGTCGCCCAGCGCCCCTTCAGTCTTCGACATGCCAAGTGGATCCCACAACATTGGTACTGTTTCACCGCAGGACCTCTTAATTCAGGATCCATACATGTCTGCGCCGAATTCAACGGCATTCACCGCCTTGACGTCGCCTTCGCCATTCGAATCGCCAGAATATATTGATGGCTACGAAGTGTCGCCAAACTTTGGGGGCTCAGGAGAATTTGATGTGGCTAGCAGCCAGTGGTTCTCCCTTTTCCCCGACCAGAACGCGAGCGTCGAGACACAGGGGGCCGAACAGCAGCTTGAGCACAAGGCTCAGGACAGCTTGGCAAGCGAGTCCCCCCGCCGTAAGTCGAGTGGCTCGCCTGCTACTGGGCGGCACTCGTCGGTGGCTGGCGTCAACGCGAGAAAGCGAGACAAGCCTCTGCCACCCATCGTTGTTGATAATCCGGATGACGTTGTAGCGATGAAGCGCGCTCGCAACACTCTGGCAGCCCGTAAGTCTAGGGAGCGTAAAATGCAGCGGTTCGAGGATCTGGAGGAGAAGATTCGCAAGTTGGAGGCGGAACGTGATCACTGGAAGACGATGGCTTTGGGTCAGTCGACCACCGACTAAGGGTTTTTTCATTCCGAGATCTAGGGGGAACTGGAGTTTTACTGTGTTCATAGCTTGATGAAATAATGCAATTCTTATTGCGAAGTTTTAAGTGCATAGGGTTAGCAGTATGTAAACTCGCTATAGTTTTAAAATCTAGTTCATTTTCAAAAGGTACTATATTTCAGTCTTAGAGGTATGAAATTACTAATATAAATATTAAGCAGCTACTATTACTTAAGTAACTAGCTTCTAAGTAGTAAATATTAGAGGGTTAGTATTATAACTGATAGACCTTAAAGTTATAATTTTAAGGTAATAAATAATACTAGTATATATATATATATTATAATAAATATAGAAAAGGCTAAGATAATAAGGATTATTAAGAAGAGTAACGTACTTCCCAGGCGAGTAGACCACCCGGGCGAGTAGACTACCCTATAGCGACTTAACGTATCGATATATTTAAGATATAATAACTCTACCTACTAATATAGAATCGCTTTCTATTAAAGAGCGTATTTATAGTATAATCTAGGCTTTTAAATAAGCCTTAAATTAAAGTATTAAGTTAATTACGAAGACCTTTAACGTTCTATAAATAATACTTAATTAACGATTTAATGGGATTTACGCTTAATATAATATAATATTTAACTCTCGATAATTAAACGATTTAGAAGAATCCGAGATTCTTTAATATATAAAGAAGCTCGAGTTA